GTCGATGAAAGTGAAATTCAGTCGACGTGATCCTCGCCAGTAGCGGCGCTAGTGCCATCTTCTTGCATTCCAAGATGGCTCCGAATAGTCGCCCAAATCGAAGTCGAGCAATGAGCAAGTTTAGTTTAATTATCAAGATCAAGAACACCAAGACTGTGCTCCTCAAAGTCAGTAATTATCTTTCGATTTCATAAGATAGATTTGGCCTAACTCTGACAATGACTCCACTATTGATCCACGTTAAAATTGCTGCATGTCCACGAGATCGAGTTTAGGTTGCTCGACCAGTCGTTGTGGATTGCTCTGTCCCGCTATTCGGAATGCGTGGGCAAAAATCAATATCGAAACTGTTTATTCGGCAATGCCGTCCCGTTATTCGGCATAGTGTACGGTTAAAATGCTAGATTCGCTGGTGATCGAGGTCTGATCGAAGACTACTTAAGTCGTTAAGGTCGTTTCACTTTTGAACTTTACACCAAACGCTTAATTACGGATTTTACGAATCATCGTGTACCTACGTTTCAGTTTGTTCTTTTTTCAAGGACGGTTATCGTACCCGTAGTCGACTAAAGTTCTACGCTATACTTGACCCTCGAAGCGTTTACTGTCTCCGAATCTATGACGTACTTGAGACCAGAGTTAGGCAAACTGTAGACGGGATGATCGGTGACTGGTGGTACAAGAATAGAGTGTGATTCTATATGAATAAATTTGCCAAAATTTGTAACTTACACTCCAATCTCGGCAGATTACAAAACCCTGAAACCTCGCGTTACGTTGACTTTGGAACAGAGTTTCAGGAAGTGTTTGCATCTGCAAACGGAGTAATATTAGACCCGTGATTAATCGGGCCAAAACGTGTGATAAAACGTGTGTCGACGAACGAAACTGTCGAATCGGTTGGCCGAAGAATTGTCACGCGTACGATTATTACGCAATTAACATTCCACGGTTCGGGAAACAGAATTGTAAAGAAGAATTACCGAGGTCGTTAAGGTGGAGGCACGATAGTCTATAAGTATGAATATTTTATTACTGCCATTATCCAACAATCGCTTCGTTAATCCAATTTGATGCGAACTTGGATGAATCGTTTCAAATTGAATTTTTCATTACGATTGTAACCAGACCTTTGATCCACTTCATAACACATAGTAGATACGAAACAATTGTGAACAAAAATCGTTCACAATGTATCTATTTTCAACGTTCGATGGTTTAATAATTACAAATTATTTGCACAATTTTAAATACACTGTTTACAGCTTGTGCAACTGACAGTCGTGAACCAGATATGGTCATGTTTCGCATATCCGGGAACGATTTTAAACATTCAGGATAATTGTACCAGCAGTCTATAAAGAAAATATTTACATCAGAGACTCCCTTACCTATTTTTTACACTGAAGTAATTTTTAGATTCAGGAGGAAATTAGATCTCATTTTACATCTCATTTTTCTACAATCTCAACCTGAAAATAATTAATCTTCTTGATCAGAAACGCCTTAAAAGTATCCATTGCCTTTTACTTTTACCTTATCAGTATAGTCCACGAGTGGACACCACGGATGGAGCCATATATGCGATTTTGTACTCCACTGCTCTGTAATGTATTTAGAGTTGGAGCATTATTTGAATAAATTTCTTTAGATGCTAAACCATTAGTAGCGTCTGGGCATTGCAAGGCCAGCAGACATGTAAAATAAAAAAGACTCGCGACCCTGCAGTCTTTATGATAGATCACTATTGCATCAAACCCTTTTTTCTAACACTAGGAAGATTTTTCATGGTCTACTTCAAGGATCACTCCTTGGTTATTTTTTATATTAAAAATTATACGAGCTAGTTATCACGTATTCGTATCAACTATCAGCTGTACAAGAAGTTCCTGAAAATTGATGGCAAATTTCTTAAATTTTGATTACCACACGATCTCCTAGTCCCACGAAAGGATCGAGAATCGTTATCTTGAGCTTCAACCTTTGCGATTGTTCTGCATTAGGCGTATTATGTATGTACGACAATTATCGTTTTGTCCAGTACTTTTTTTTGTTACTTAAGACGTAATCGATGTTGTCACTTGGAAGTCGATCATTATGTAGACAAATAACAAGCATGTTCCAGTAAATTTCCGAGATTAGGAAACGAATAAACAACGCAATATGTCTCGTTGATGCTAGCCGACCTTAGTATGCCTGATTTTACATTCGATGACGTTAAAGGCTTGGGAAACACTTTGACACGCGAGAAACGGTTACCAGGAATGCACATTTGTTTACACGAAATAAAGTCTGGCGTGAATTGATAAAAATGATGGGCGACGAGACGTACTTAGGCGCCATCGTGTGTTTTATGCGCGTTTCAAATTGTTTCTAAATTGCTAAATGTTCTTTAAAATGTTCTTTCCAGGTCTGCGTAGAGATACGTACAAGAACGTAATGAAGAGACGTAAGTAAAAAATTTCCAACAAACAGATACGATTGTGATTCCCCGCGTTCGATCATTTCATAATATTTATATCTATCCTCGTCTTGAAGAATAATTTCATGATGCAATTGGCTTTTTGTGGGTAATTAATGATTCAGAAACGGATAGTAAGTAGCACACGATTACTGCTATGGTAATATGATTACTTTAGTTTGTAAATACGGTAACCGAGACACCTTTTTGCTTCTTGTGATGCAATTATCTCGTTCACATTATTGCAGAAGCGTCACAGCTCGCTTTAAATACATAATATTCAATGGAAATCAGTTTTGAGAAGCTTAATATTCACGCTAACCACACGTTTTATAATACCCTTGTGTAATATTTATTCATACCGATGCTCAAGTTCAACTATTTTGGTTGAAGCGTTTTTGGAATCTAACGAGAAACGAGAAAACGTTCTCCCGTTCACCAACCTCTTGAAATCGATGTTAATTCGATTCGATTTCAGATTACTTCGAATCTTTTATTATAGCAGATTATTATTTTCAGCCGAAAGATAGAAATTTAGATGTTCGTTCGTAAGTAAATGGCACGTCGGTCGATTATTTGAAATTTGTCACGCGAAAAACGATAATTACGATAAAAAAAAAATTCCAACTGTAAATCGTTAACAAAAATATCAATAACAATAGAGGTTATTATCGGTATCGGGTTAATTGGCCGACGTTAAGTATATCAATGTTTTGTGCTAATACGCATAATGATATCTCACCTTGCGTGGCATTGCGCACATATATCTATTCACACCGTCTGTATTTTTCGAACGTCATCGGTAAATTTTCCGTGTATCGGTGAGAATGTTTTAACAACATTTTTACGCACATACAGCGAGACGAAATTTTTGACCGAACCGTTGCATAATCGAAACCAGTTTCATCGGTAACGTTCGAGATTTCCGATCGAAGGGTGGTGATTTACGAACGAATCCACGCGACATTTAAACAACTTCTGATGTAAAAATCATCGTTTGTTCCAGTCTACAGTCACGTCGCGTTTGCAACACCCAGACTTTTTTGTTTCGAGAACTTGTATTTATTTGCATTTAAATCGTACATTTGTTGGGAATCCTCGACAATTTTATATCGCTCTTAGAATATGCAAGATAACGTAAATTTTTACTTTAATTATAAAATATCGTTTATCTCGGACTGCCAAACGCTGTCGGTAGCGCTGGCAAATTTGGTTGATTTATAAAATTTGTTCTAAACTTTTAAAACGAACATTACAGAATGTTTATCGAAACGGAACCATCGTCGTATCGATTGTACAAGCAGGACCGACTGCATTTCATTGACTGAATCGATCGCATGATCGTTCAAACGCATCGATGATTGCGACCGATTTCGTCACGTTTCGTCAATTAATTGCAAATATTGAACCTAGTGTAAACTATGACGTTCTCCCAATAATCTATCCTGCATACAAAGACATTTATGCTGCTTTCTTATATTCGTGGTTTGAATAAACCAGGAATCCATTAGTGAAATCAAAATTTCCAATGCGATTTGGACGTCACAGTTTTTGAACTTTGGTTTATTATACGATCGTCTTTAGCCTTGGATACCAGTAATCGTCGTGTAATGTGAGCACAAGTAAAAATTGTACGGTTCGAGAACAAATTAAGACATTGGCAATAATATGATGACGAATATACGGTCTGTTTCAGAAATATATTAAAATAATATCCTACGGGTTATGCACAATTTGTAAAATTATAGTTTGTCTTCGTTTATAGCTCTTTGAGTAAGGTTCAAATGAAACCATAATGCTGGAAAGTTCGTAATGTTAGCAATAACTAGACTGCTCGATTGGTTTTGCATGGCTCTATTGAGTAACGCTGAAGTATAAATGTTTATCGTTGTTATTATCCACGGAGAGCCTTCTACGAAGGAAAATAGGCTTCTCTTACATTTTCACCGATTATCGAACGCAACTAGACTTATTATTCCTCGTAACCGAAGGTTTACATTTGTTCTTAGCCGGTGGAAAAAGTTATTGGTCGTTGCGAGGGAAACGCTGACGATTATTGCACACTCGGCTTTATTATACGTTTGCCGAAGTCTTTCACTTTTTTTTCTAATAATTCACGATAGGTATGGTCGGTATTTCTCTTTATTCGGAGAAGAGTTGTACTCTCGTTTCGTTTTTAATTTGTGTGATGCAATACTCGACGTGAAAATAAAAAAAATTGACGCACCATAAAACTAAGGATAAAGTTGTAAGTTCGTTATTTAATCCGTACACAATTATAATCAATTTTATTAGGGTCTTGATGGTTTGAAATCTAAATAATAATAGCTAAGTGCAGATTCGATTTAATATTTCACTACATAATTGAAGTGGTCATTAATATTTTTATGATAGCTGATTGAGTATCCGTTTTACGTCTTCCCGGTGGAACTTTTTAAAATATTCGTTTATTAAGTTGGCCACGCTGAGCGTTATCGCAGCTATTGCCAACTGTGAGAATCTAACTTCCGCGAACAACTTCAGGGAAGTGATTGTTGTGAGTTGCGAATAGTTTCACACATCACGTTAATCTTGATAACGGATTAGTATAAATAACAGTATTATTGAAAAATGGTTAAGTTAACGCCAGATTTAATACAGCAATCTATGCAGTATATAAACCCTGTAAAGGATCGTGAATTGGATCTCAGAGGTATGTAAACGATGCACATCGAAAATATATAACCTAAAACTTGTTGCTAATTCTTTAATTCTTTAACATTGTTTCTATTTTCTCGCATTGCAGGTTACAAAATTCCTACAATTGAAAACTTGGGTGCAACTCTGGTTAGTACGGAAATCGATAAATTCTTGTTTCTTGACCTTTTTGTAATGTTTACAAACATCGTGGTTAAGCACGTCCTTCGTTTATGTTTACGGCGATCTACAAAGCCACGCGTTTCTAATCTCTATAAGTTGAAACCACGAAACGAATACCAGTGTACATAATTCATTAATATTTTTCAGGATCAATTTGATACTATAGATTTCTCAGATAATGATATTAGAAAGTTGGATGGGTTTCCTCTCTTAAAACGTATAAAAACACTCTTTTTCAACAATAATCGTATTGTTAGAATTGGGGAGGGATTGGAGCATTGCATACCAAATTTAAAAACCCTTATGTTGACTGGAAATATGATTCAAGAACTTGGTGATTTGGAGCCACTGACACAGCTAAAAAATTTGACAAACCTATGTCTATTGCAGAATCCAGTCTCTGCAAAGCCTCAATATAGACAGTATGTTGTATATAGGTTTCCACAACTGAGGCTTCTAGATTTTAGGAAAATTAAGATGAAAGAGCGCGAGGCTGCAGTTGCTTACTTTAGAAGTAAAAAAGGAAAAGAAATGATTCGTGAAATAGCAAAGAAAGCAAAAACACAAGCTACTGGCGCGTTCACGGATAAACCATTGACCACCCTAGAGGAACGCAATAAAATTAGAGAGGCTATCACAAATGCTTCTTCCCTCGAAGAAGTACAACGTCTTAGTAAATTACTTCAATCCGGACACATGCCCAGTGAAGAGAGAATACAGAATGGTTTGTAATAGTTTTTATAATGTACAAATATAGCAGAAGACATTATAATACATTATCCGAAATATTTCAGGAAACACAATACCTGAAGCAATGGAAGAAGAGGATGACTAATTTTTCACACATTACTTTCAGACTTAAAATATGTTAAACAAGAACAATCATTTTTATTGGTGTAAGTATTAGATCGATACTCTCGGCGAAATCGAGAACAGTATGTTAAGCTAATAAGAAATTATATGCTACACAACTTCAATTTTGTTGAGAGATAGTTCAGAGATTCGATAATAAAATTATTGAAATACCTAAATGCCGTGAAGCGATTTTGTAAACGTATGTTAGGTTACCAATCACCTTTCAAATTAACTAACATTTTTAATATATGCATCTGTTTATTTCAGTGATATTTTAATAAATCAAGTTTGTACCTATAAACGATTTTTCCTATTTTAAATCGAACACTCGAACCCTCGATAATTAGAATTATTTAGATACGTGGGCGTGCGGCGTCCTTACGATTTCAAGTCCGTTCGCACGTTACGGTATTTCAAAGGAATCGGTATTAGTTGTTTAATATTAACGTATACAAAAACAAAGGAACATACTTGCGTAAAAAAATTCGGGCTTCTTCAATATTCTTTGTGTTGTGCCAATGGGGGTAACAATTCTTCTTCGTTTGGGTTTGAATACGAAGAATATTGAGGAGTGAAGGAAGGTGCAAGTCTACTTGAATTTCCTGTTCCCGACGACTTCTGGTTAACTAACTTCAAAACCTGTTCCACATTCACAAGTTTTCAAGCACTTCTTTGGAAACATTCGTGTAATCCGTGAGACATAGCAATTTTTCTAGTTTTCCGTATTGTGACTTAGTTTGACGAGGATAACATTATTTCTTCGACGCTCCAAACGCGGGTTCTCCGTTTCTCTCCACATCCGCCGGAAGTGTGGCGCGCGTAGGACATTTAGTTTCAATTCTCATAGTTGATAGCACTTCAGTCTTATTCTATACTGAATCGATAAACGTTTGGATTTAACACCGAAATGGTAAGAAACCTCTAAAGCAGTGTTTTTTAACCCTTTTTCTTAGTTGTCTCTTGAGGCTTATGTATTTTTATGATATTTATCTTACATCTATCGTGACTGCTGTTCGCTAATGGAAACAATAGTGTATTAAGTATTTATTTATGACTTGTAATATTACATTACAATGTTTATTCATACGATATATTAAAAGAATAGCTCGTCAATGGTGTAATGTTTTCATAGATAAATTGCTTCGAATGAATTACGTAAGTAAAGTCACTAGATGTCAGCATTGCGCGAAGTGAACGGTCTTACATTATCGGTTATATACTTTTTATTCTAGTTATTGTAATTTTCTAATAATTCCCAACAAAAATGGGTAACGCGTTAAAAACAATAGGTTCGTCGGATTTTCCGGAATCTGAGATGCCTCCATCGTTCGATCCGAATTTAGGATTTCCTAATGGTCGTAAGAAACGGGGCAAGTATTTCGTTCGATTCTAACCCTCGAGTTTAAATTTATTGTCGATATTTTATGTTCGTCGTCTTTTGTTCACACAAGCAACAGGTTCAGTCAGTTTGTAACAAACGATTTGATTATATCGTTAAGATTTTGTGGCATCGTTGATATTACTTTTGTGTTATAAGTGCTTCGCCAGTGACATAATTATGCGTATAAAAACCAGTTTCGAATGACGTCTTCTTAAATGAAAGGTTTATGTCTTTATTTATTTTTTTAAAGATTGTATTGAAACAAAATTGGTTCTGTACGGACAGTTTATTCGTACAGACCTATTTAAGCGGTTTTTGAAGAAATTTTTAAGTGATTCTTTCGAAGATAAATGTAGAAGGTGCTCACGTTACAAGTATCCAGAATTTTTTAATTAAAGACTGGTGTAACAAGAAGTATTACTACTTTCGCGTAAGAATACGATAACATAAGTTAATTTTCAAAATTTGTGATCCGTTCTTCAATTTGTTAATAATTGTTTTTACATGAATGTTGCTCTATTCTTTTCTATCGAAACATTTCTTAGAATTATTTAGAGCAATGAAGATATTCAAGATTACAGATTTTGAATTATTTACTATTTGTAATTGCTAATAATAATATTATTGTACTTTATAGTAATGGTAGCGTCGGAGCAAGAAATCAATGCAGCTAGAGTTCCAACAAGGTTTAGAGATTATTGTTCTCATAAATATTTAGACCTAGAAGATTGTTCAAGACGAAATTTTCCTATTCACCAAAGGTGTAATCATGAATTTCATGGATATGTTCAATGTATAAACGAAGAGTAAGCTTTCAACGACAAACTTTCAAATATATTGTAACAAAAATTTTAATGTTTATTTTGGGCTTTTTATAATTCTAATGCATAATTGTTTCAGCTACATATTGAGAGAAAAAGAATATGAAAGGGAACGTAGACTTCGTAGGAGACAGAAAAGGAAAGAGGAGGCTATGAAAAAAGCTGCGGCAGTGTAGGTTGCAATGTGATTGACTATTGTTCATCTCTAGGACACTTATATAGATGGGTTCTTTCATCGCTGTAAATAAATAATATTAATAAAAAAATTGAATGGCATGGGTTGGTAGAACCATACTCTTGTTTCGTTGCTAATTCCATGCAGGGTTTATTAAGGACCTTAACCTCATTATTTCGTTGATAATTTTCTGACTTAATTAAATCGATATTTCCCATTTCTGGTAATATACTCTTTCAGCTTCTTTAGATTTTGGTTACATGTATCTAAATTATCTTCAATATACTAAAATTAAATAACTTAGGCCTGGTGTTGGTCTCAAGTAGTTCATTAAGGGCCTTGACCTCATGGTGTTTTGCGTAATCGAAACATTGCATGCCGGTTCGAACGAGAGCTTATCCAAAGTACTTATTCCCGACTAATTCTTTATTCCTCAGCGCTTTAATCGATCTTTTATTTGCTATCTAGACGAGTATTATGTCCAACCCCGATGAAAGGAAGTGTGTTTAGGTAGGGTCCATTTTACACGCGTCGAACTTGCGAGTAACTTAATAAAATTTATTTGTCATTACAAAAAGGAAAGAATTACATATGTACAAACAGTTTCGTCGCATGTGCGTGTGAAGCACACAAAATAAATTACAATCTTAGGCTGAGGTTCGACGATGAATCCGTACGAAAATCATCGGTATCGTCGGCGTGCGTCTCTCCCTGTAATAGTGGAACGACCGTTTCTGTCCTGTTTGAGGGGTTGCATCGAGAGGATCGATAGAGAGAGAGTCTGTATTACTCTGGCTACCTGGGGGAGAGTTGCACATGCCCGTGGTGGGATCGCCACCATGTTTCGTCGGTTCACCGTCTTCTCTGTAAACCGAGTGATTGTCGTTTTACCCCCGACGCGTGCGTGGCTCCGGGGATGTCTAATTCTAAGAGTAAAGCGTCTCCCTCTCCCTTTGTTCACACATGAACGTAGCGCAAGAGCACGTCGATACCCTTGTCCAAGACACGTTTCACGAAACCCGGCTCGTGCTTGCCAGACAGTCGACTCTTCGACGCTGTTCGGTGATCCTGTGTCGTTCCTCGTAGACGGAAACCGCGCGTTTACCGCACTGCGGTACTCGGCCACGTCGAGACCAACATCATCAACGCGATAATGTTTCGAAACTAGGCTACGAGATCCGATTTAATAGATAGATTTCGTAAGGAACGTTGCACACGTACATCTGAATCCATCGATTCGGTAGCCTGCTCGCTGGTGAGAGGAATTATACATGTACGACACGTGTGCGAGGTTGTGCGTGTCTCTGCTGCACAGGTGATACAGGTGTCGTGCTGAAGTCTGATACCGTTCTCGGTTCTCGCTGCAACACGACACTGCTATCCAGAGATGAGCAAAATTTTACTCGAAGAACAGAAAACGTTCGTTCTTTATTTAAAATCTTCGAGATTAGAAGGATTTTACTCATCTCTGGTTGTATCGCGTTGTTCGTGAACGCGTCCGCTTACGACTTATCGTTTAAGGGGTTACTCGAAACACTCGTGCAACGTATAAATAATCGAGAAAAACGTTTAGCTTAACGAGGTTTCGTCAGGTTGTGTTCCCTGCGAAGCGTTGAAAAAGTCTCATCATAGTACGGTTTTTGCATTAGATTGGTCAGTAATCAGTTTTAGTAGGCGTCTATGTTGAAATTAATTTGCAGAGAAGATAATTTTTCTATAGATCGTTTGGGAAGAGACTCTTCTAACGCGTTGTAGTTTCTCACGCAAATCCGTTTTTCCGCCTATTGATAAATTTGTATCTCGTCGCGCGCGACTGGATCGCGCGTAGATTTAAATAAACCCGCGAGAACGGTGTCCCGCGGAATGCGCTAACTCTACTCCTATATTTACAGTAATCTTGATTAAAGATCTGCTGACGCGTAACGCCTAAAAATAGAAAAAGAAAACAAGGACCATTAAATTAACGACACCAAGGACCGAATCGACGCGCGATGCCTCGTCGATTCTGGGTTTTCGATGCACTTTCAAGCGTAGCCTAAACAATTCGTCGAAAACTCCGAGTCTGAAAAGATGTTTCTACGTTAAGGCCAGGCGTTAGTTTCTCCGTAATGGCAAGATTTTTTATATAAATCGCGATACTATAGTACATGAGACATAGTGGGAGTTATCCCTGGATAGTTTTGGCTGGTCAAAATACATGAAAAGTATTATACGCCTGGCCCAGGGATGGGGAACCTACGACCTTTTAAAACGATCGACGATTATCTAAGTGTTTTGTTCACAGATCAAATAAGAAAAATCCTGATACGCTCTATTATCGATATTAAAAGGTTCCACATCCCCAACCCTAACGATTGCTTGCTCATCCCGAATTCGAGATTAACGAGTGCTTCGGAAACCCTGGTCCGAGCTGTTCGCGAGACCTGAGATATCCTGCGGAGGATACGAGGGATAACAAACGATAATCTCTCCCTTACGGAAGGATTCTGTAGGCCCTCGACGGAAGAACCGATCACGATCGTTCCGTACGATCGAGTTCGCGAACCAGCGTCCAATAGAATTGTCTCGAAACGTTCGATGACTAGTTCCGCGTGATTGTGCGTGTGTTCGATCGTTATCCGAAATCGATACCACGTTGGCCGGTGTTTGAGCAAGTTGGTGAAATCCCACGAGATCGGATACACGCTGAAAACACACAAGACAAAACGTTTTAACTGATCCACGATCGTTCGATCGCGCGTGGTCGAGGAGCTGTTGTTCGGAGCGTGTGTTTTAGAGAAGTTTGGGAATGTGCGCGCGCGTTTCAGCCCCTCGATTTATTCCCCCTTCAGCTCCTTCGTTCTGGACTTCCTGTACGCTTGCCGGTAGAAGTCGGAGAACAGGACGAAGAAGATCGACGAGTGAAGCAAAAGAAGCCCGGCCACCAATTTCGGGTAGCCGCAGTCGAAGACCAGGGCCTGGGTGCTGTGGACGAACACCAGGAAGAACTGCACCTGAAAATGGAACGAGAATTCATCGAGGGTGAGTTGAATTTTACAGTTCGTAATAATTTTCAAATTTTATTTGGACCATGTATGTTGTTAGCAAGTTAGTTAATTATACACACACGGAGGTAGAAATCGTTAAATATTTAGTGTTTTTTGTCGCGATTAAGCGAGCAGCATTTGGTAACCATACGGTCACGTGCCTTTCTCGCTGTATAAAGGTGTAATGTGTCGCAAGCCGAATTGTGTCACGAAGATACACACACGGACGTGGAGCTCGAGACCGAATGAATCAATGAACTATAGATTATACTCGAAAGCAGCTATGTCGAAAGGATAATCGAGGATATTTTGCATACTTCGTGCCAACGTTAGACTGGATAGGTTGAAACGATCTGTCTCAGCGATATCTCCCGATCGATTAAACCGCGATAACATTTCATTATACCCTTGGAAGACGTATAATTCTATTGAGTATGGAATAAGGTGGTTTCTAACGAAACAAACGCGTTACAGGGCTAAATAGTTAAGATGAGTATTCTTCAAGGATGTTTGAAGAGTTGAAATCGAGCTTGGTTTCAATCACCCTTCCTCATTGATGGGAGTTTGAGAGATCAGACCTGGAGAAATACTCCTCTGCACACCTGGGAGGAAAGCATACATTCTACAAATCAACGATATTCCCTTATAAATCGAATTGTTTCAAAAAAGTAAAAGTGAATTAATATCCTGAAGTCAATGGGGAGTAATGTAATAATAGGGTCACGTTTCTTAGACTCCATAGTCTTGCATCAAGATAGACGCTCACTTTTTAATGGGTTTCGTCACCGTGATATATAGTGCTCGAAACGGTGAGGCTGATGTATGATTTTATGGCCGGGCAGTTAACAGTTTGCCGGTTATTTAGCGTTATAGTTTTTAGAGGCCCGATATCATTAGCGATGTATGTAATGGTGGGAACGGGCCCGGGCGAGCCAGTGACGCAGGCCGCGTGCTTGATTTCTTCCGTGCATGAGTTTCGATCCTTTCAAACAACGTAAATCGGTTTTTATTGCATACACACGCCTTAGGTGCTGCACCGGTATTAATAACGTTGAATTTACCGAACGTACCAATTAATTTTGTCAACGAGCGTCTATTATACCTGTAAACTTTGGTCAGTATTTATCGTGAAAGCAATTTTAGCGTTTACTAAATTTGATTAGAAATTAAATGCAATTTGCACGTTGTAAATGTAACTTACGCTCGATACAATTTTAGCCTGTGAAACTCAGACGTTGAATAATCGTTCGGTTATTTGCCTGGTCACAAATGTATGCAACAATGACTTCGTGTGGAAGGCTCGTTAAAAAGTGAGCGTCACACTCTGATATTCTAGTTAACCGATGCGGTTTGCGCCGAGTATAAATTCTTCTGACTCGTGGCACCATGTTTCCCTTATCGCGGGATGGATCTTACCGCTCCCTGGCGATGGTTGGTACCACTGGTCGCGGAAGATCCTTTGATGCGTCTCGGGGAACGCGATAGGGGGAGTAGGCAATATCGTTTGGCGTCAGTTGTCCTTCGAGAGATTGGTGCCGATGGTCTCGCGGGATAAAGCATGGTAGGCGAGCACATGGGTGAGGTTACAGGCATGCAGCCGGTTCGTGGTTGTTCCAGCACGGTCGATGGCGACGACGGTGGTGGTGCAGAGGCTGTGGTGGTGGCACCTGTGCTATACGGCATATCGGAATGCCAAATTATTGCGCCACCGCGACGTAGTCGGCCTAGTCCGACCAAAGCAAGTCAGCCTGCAATTGCCCAACGTTGTATTTTTCACTTTCCCTCACCCCTACCACGCGGTTTGCGTAAAATTTCGTCCAGAGATTTGCTTGGGTGGCCACTGATGGCACAGAATCCGCGAAAACACGCGTATCGATACTTCCTACGCATCTTCGCGTCCCTTCATCCTACGCGAGATTCGTCGTTTCTCGGGCAAACGTTCTCCACGTGTTGCAACGAGTACCTAATAACCTCTGTTGCAAGTTCTCGGTGCAGTTTGGACGGGCAGACGTTTCAATTGGTTTTGAAAGTCATACACAAGGTGGAATAACTTTAATGGTTACGAACGATTCAATGTTCCGATGGTCTGGGACACTAGAGAATCTTGACTGCTTCAGGTATGCGCAATAACGTGGCTTTAGGTCTTTCGAGATTTTCTGTGCATTCTACAGAGCATCTTCTTTTATATCTGTTCTGGGTTTCTTCTCGTTTTCATAAATTACTTCTGATCGATCTTCATCGTCTTCATTTCCATTGTCTCGCGTATAGGGTCCTTGATCTAGGTTTCATACATTTTATTTATTTCCATAGATTCCTACCCTTCTGGTAGAAGAAACGATCAGTGCCTGGAATCATGAAAACAGCTCAAACGAAGAACACGTTGACGAAATTAGTTTCTTCGTAGCCAAACGATTGCCCTCCGCGACTCGAGGTCTGCGACCAGTTTTAATTCGTCGCGCAATTAGCACACAATAACTCCTAGCGAACGGTCGTTTGTTTCGCTGTTGGCGAGTCCGTACGCGGTCCATTGAATCGTGTTCGTTTTCCCTACTCCTGTCGATTGCAGCAACGCAGCGTTCGCCTGGAGCCTATCCGGTCGAAACGTTGCGTTTCGACCGCGTTCGCGACGATGCACCCTTCGAGCTCTCACTTTCATCGATCCGCGGATCACATTAAGCGCGATTATGTTAAACTCGCGTTGCGCAAGAAGAAGGTATCGCCGATCCCATTGCATGAAAATCGTTTGGCGATCGTTCACCGCTTATTGCGCGATCTTTTGCCGCGGTCACGTGGACCGGGGAAACGCAAAGTCGAGTTCTCGTTTCGACGATTAAGAATTTAGCCGCCGCGCCGTTACACGCCTTTCGTTTCTTCTCGAGCAACATTTTTTTGAAAACGAAGAAGCTTGGGAGATCGATCTTGAGGACTCAGTTTTTTAAAACAGAAAAAGATCCTACAATGTTTATCGTAAATTGGAAACTGCTTTCTACAGTCCAAATCGGTTGAATTAAACGTCGAGTAACGAAACGTTATAGTTAAGCGATGGAATGACATGCACGAGTTGCACCCGTAACAAATGACCATTGATTGCGTTATTCGTTAGTAACGGTGCGAGGTTTTGTAGGGCAAAAAGATGCGAACCGAATGATAAAAGTCGAGAACGTTGTTCCGTGGTCGATCGGAACACGCCGATGAAGTTGTGTGTTACTTCTTGCGACCAGGAACCGGGGTATTTTTTTCATCGGTCAGGCAATATCTCGTCATGGCGAGTGGGCTGCGACTAAAAACAGAACCTGTTCGCGATTGTGCGAAATTCCCTGCTCGATGGGAACGGTCGAAAATTTTTAACACCTTTCATCGATTCTTTTACGAGACGTTGAACAGCGCTTACCTGTTGCAAGTGCAATGTACGAACTACGATCAGATAACTATTGGGGCAAGAATTGTCTAATATCGTGAATTAGGTGGTCAACTGCAACGAGAAGAGTGGAAAATGCTTCGAAGGGATGTGGATCGATCTACCTACCAGTTGGACGGTGGTTAGGTGCTTTTTCCACCATAAATATTTCTGGTACTCGGGTCCCATCGCGGACACCATGTAGTACGTGTACATTATCACGTGCACCGCGTTGTTTATAAGGTTGCCCAGGGTACCATGCCCTCCGGCGATGAATTTCACGCAGATCCACGTCTCCAAGGGCGTCAGAGAATGGTGGTACAGGTGCAAGAACGTCACCTGGCTGTCCTTTTTGCGCAAGATGAAGAATATCTGAAATTTCGTAACAAATATCAGTCGCCTGTTCCAATATTGTCGGCAAATATTCACGAAATTGAAACAAAATTCCCAGCTAGAAATTTTCTTCGATCGTCTACACTCTTGAAACATTGTACGTTACTCCATATACGTTACCACATGCTGTTGCAATAAAAGAATTTCGAAAATCTTAACGCAACTTCGCCCGATTTTAAGCGCCGAACGTTGCGTTCGTGAGCGCTCGAAGACTTTCGCGGTTCGTACGATTCATTTTGCCCGCGACGAGCATTCTTTTCTTTTCGAAATGGAAATTTCGTTGACGGAGAGGATAGTTGTACGTACCGTGTCAGCGAATTCCGTGAATTTGCTGATGAAGTACCACCAGCACAGGTTCGCCATACGCAGCGCGGACGGATTGTGGGAGTAGTCGACCGGTTGACACTTGTAACTGTAATCCAACAGCCAGCCAGACATCAGGTGCTGTAGAAAGGAGTTCACGGTCAAGGCAATGATTTCTGATTTTGTTTTTTTTTCTACGAACGCAGTCATTTTCCGCTGTCAGCGTAATCGAAGCATAATTTTTGATAGCCCGACGCGAGAATGTGTTTCGCTACGCGTGCAATTTAAACGTTTCGTCCTCCTTTTGTCTAGTTTCTCTTCGCGCAATTACGGAGATAAGCTGACCTTCGTTCGAGTTCCTCCCACGCGCGGAAAATAAAAAATTCCTGGCCCGTATTGGATCCAAAAAAATGTACATCGTCGATTCGCTGTTCACAGATTTCAGGTGTACGAGAGTCCCGGAAAGTCTTTAGCAGTACGCATTAGAAATCTTAGAGAGTCGTAGGCAATATCGGAGACGTAAGATACATAATATGTTCAGTAAATTTATGATGAGAAAATTATACCGAGACTGTGAATCGAGGTTACCCCCGAGTGAAAGAGGTGTTTTTTTAGCTCGTACGATAATCAACGAGGATTTAGTTTATGCGTACGGCTCGCGATATTGCATTCGGATGCGCTAATAACTTGTTCACCCGGGTTGCGTCATATCACTGGATTACTTAAATCGTAATTGAACGTTTCAAGGTCGTTGATAGTAGCCACTGTTATTAAAGGCTTCGATTATAAAATATATGAAAAGTAAAAGACTAGGACGAGACTTCTTGTAATTTCTGTTCTCTTTACGAGACGAGATATCAATTTATTTAATACAAATGTTCAATTTCTAGCCAAATCGGGCGATGCGTTACTCCAATTTCCCTTCAAAGTCTGCAAGAAACGTTCTTCCGATCTCATATGATGTTTCCGCGTTCGTTTTTTGAACTACCCGCGTACGTGCTTAATCTGAATTAGGTCAGGTGATTGTGAGAGAGTAGCTAATGCAAGAAGAGTATTATGTGTCCAAGAGCCAGTGATGCATTAATAAAGCTGTTACTTGTCTTCCTTGCTATTCTAACTCCGCATCCTGCACAATAGAGTACTCGCAGGATGGTTTTCGGATGCATTTCATCGTGTGCATAACTTCCGATGCAATTTTAGATGCATTTAGTATATCCTTACTTTGATTCGTACAATTTTCTCGTCGGTTACTATTCTTGGTAATTTGCAATATTTCCACATCTTCGAATCTCGTTTCACAATTTTTTAAATCTTTATATACAATTATAATAATTCCTCCTCGAAGGGTCGAATACTTTCAAATTTGCTTCGAACGATTAAATATAGCCGCGAATGATCCCAGTTTCGAACACTTCGGGCCAAGTTAATTACCACCGCGGTTGATTGGGCCCGCAGCGAACGTTTCAGTTACGCGAACCGGTCCGATTCTAGGTCGTTCGTCAAACTGTCGACACCTGGAGCTCAAGTGCACCGAGAGCCATTGCTTCCCACAGTTTTTCTAATTACTATAATTTTTCACGACGGTCTTCTTCAGTTCGAACGACCAAAACGAGCACTGCTCTCTAGACGCGCAAATCGCGAACGATCGGTTCGTGGAAAGTCGAAAACAGGATGCTTCGCCTTTAACGAACCGCGAGCTACAAGAGTGTACAAATCGATTGGGCAACCGTCGTTCGACAGCCTCGTCGGTTCGCTTTTCTCTTCATTCTGCAACTACATTTCGCGAACCGGCGCTTTCTCACCCCCTTGTTGCCCCCTCGATTCGCAACAGGCGAAAATCCCCGTGTCCTGCGGAAATTCGCGCTGGTTTCGTTCGAGCGACTGGAATGGAAACGTCGACGGTGTCGAAACGACTGTTCTGTTCTTGTTTTTTTGAAAAGAAGCATTTCTGATTTCTCTTTATTCGATGCATTTTGCAAGATTTGCTTTCAGCGAATTACCGATCCACGTTTTGTCGCATTCCAGGGTCTCCGGATCGTATAAGATTTATTGGAGGAACGAGAGGAAGAATTAGAAATCTTGTGGGGGTGTAAAAATTCAATCGACAACGATATTTCCAGCTTCGAAATACGGGTTTTCCGTATCTTTCACGATACCGCAGAAAGTCGTGGCGTAGTGTATCTTCTCGTCAACAAGTTCGGTATGCAAATCAATGCACCGTAATTAATGTTTTCTCGAAACGATAATTGCCAGCGATGCTTTTGCACAACGCCGCGAAACGGACACGCGCATATCAATGGAGTGAAAAGTGTTTCGATCCGGACGATTAAATTCTCGTTAAGGTGTTCGCCTAAGCGCGGATACTGGCACGCTTCCGATCGAATTCCTCGCGGCGCGGCGGTGCAATCGTTCGATCAAGAGACGTCGAGTCTGTCATTACGATCTCCGTGTACGCGTGTAAAAACGAAAGATGGATCGACGCAGAATCGTTTTAAAAAGGCGACTTATGGGGAAAGTGAATCCAATTGTTCACGAAATTTATTTACGCAAGAAAATTCCAGGGAAGGAATTCTGGTTCAAGGTGACTAGGGAGTGACTCGAGCGTCCTTGGGGACCTTCAAAACACTACTCGGTCGTTCACCAGTCTGGGTCCCATCAGTTTCTCTTTCCTCTCGAATTTATGGCGAAGGTCGTTGTTTCTGCCAGGTGCTCGAACTTAAACGGACGAATTCGATAGATCGTAGGTTGAAGAGAGCGAAGGACAACGTGGAAGGCCTTTGGATCGACCGAAAATCGGGATCTGACGAAACACGTCCAGCAATTTATTTTTAATTCGACGAAATTGTGTAACAGACACGCGCAGGGCGATGTAATTAGGCTTTCGTTTCGTTGGTCAGTGTTGACGTCAGCGCGTTATTATCGAATCGGTCCTTGGATCCAAAAAGAAAATTCTGCGAATTTATTAGAATGAAATCGTCCTTTAAAAACGAGGTGGTCGTAGTAATAACTGTAATATAATAGTATATGACCAACAAAAATTCATTCTGGTCGATCTCATCCTTAACTACCACAAGATATTTATGGAGTTTGATAACGTCAGTCACTCCTTTCTTGTTGTCATTCACTTGCCGGAGATTGTCGACCTGGATCTCCAGTTTCTCGACTGACGAGAAGACGAGTAATTAAATATAACAATGTTCTTCAAGCTCGTCCCCGTATCTGACGCCCCACAAGATCCTCGTTCTTTATTTGTTAACTTATTTATCATCGACATTGCGCTCCTATTTCAACACAGCCGGTTTCCACTGTTCGCGGACGATCTGAAAGTGTTTCGCGCCATTAACCGCACTAATGATACTTTATTACCTCAGGAGGACATGTTGAGACTCTAGGCTGTGTTTTATGAACAATTTATTTTATAATATCTCTAAAATCTATCAGCTCTTATTGCGGCAATCGTTTACTTACGAATATCGTCTCGATATTGCATCGACTTCCGTTTTCTAACGAGCAGTCGGTATCGTTGGAGGGTTTCTTTCGTCGAATAAACGAGTAAATACGAATTAATTAAAGAATCGACCGAGGAATTCGGTGTCAAAACTATAAGATTTCAGTCTGCGTTATTAGCAAACGCTCAACAACGTCTATCGCAACGCTACGCCCACGGGATTCATCACGGTCCACTGGAGGCGTGCCATGTAAATCCGGATTATCGAATTTAAATTTTCCTGACAAAGACCCATCAGCGTAAAAATGTAATCATAATCAATTTGTAATCAATAAAATACAGCATTGTTCCTTGAAACGTGGTTATTAATTTGTCTTATTCCAATTGAACCTTCGATGATTTCACATTCATCCAGGGAATACTATACTTCGTTCTTCGTGCTACAGAAATTGGACATTGATCGCAGGGATCGACGAGCATTTATTTCAGCAAGTTTCAGCGCGACTATTTCCACGCAATGGACATTTTCATTCGGTGTCTGACATTTTCGTCCAGCGACCCACTTGCGTTTGCAATCCTCCGCTCAGAGAGAGGGGACCATGAACTTTGAATCGCGTTGGTGCATCGATCTCGCGTGAACCCGTTGGCACGCGAGCACCATCGTTGCGACCATCAAACCTCTTAATCACCATGATTTAGAGAAAGTCGTCCCTGATGTTTTGAAACGTCCACGAAACCTTGGAACGAGTGAAACGGTTGACAGTTAGCGTCCCTCTTTTCGTCACGTTAGTGGCTATTAGCGTCTAGCGAAACTGCTCTCTTCCCATTCGATGAAAAGATCGCGATTGTTCCTAATTGCCACGCGATTCTTCACGGTTAAGTTGATGGACCGCTTTTGTCACGGGATTATTATTCGCCCCATAAATCCTCTTGCGCAAAATCCTCCGACAGGTTTTTCTAACTCATTTCACACGTAAAGTTCAAAATGAAGAACAACTTGGGAGGTTTTGGTATCTCTATCGCCTCTAGAAATTTAATCTCGTATTCCAGTAAAAATTGCTTACCTCGTAGAGCATCCCCAGCGAGAAGACGACCTGGAACGCGTTGTACGCGACCAGGGTTCCCCTGAGTTTGAAGGGTTTCCTGTTGGCCATCAATCTAGGCCCGAACAACGTGACTCCGTACAAGTAGAGGAGCACGATGAGAAAAGTCGGGATTGGCGAGTCCATCAAGGGCCAGTCGCTGACCCTCGGATCGGAGATCGTCGTCAGGATTTCCGTGTACTGATCCAGGGCCATTCGTACCAGCCCCTGCGCGCCCACGAACGATCTATTCGTGTCGGTCATCTCGATCCTCGGTTCCGGTTCCCTCTCGGCAACCAACTCCGCCGCCGCAGATGCCATTTCTGCAAACGAATAAGAGAGAGGTAGTGATGCTCCGTTTCCTATCAGATATCTCGATATTTTACGTCGGAAACGCTTGGTTACTGGCAACAGCGAGTATTCGCGACTACGGACCCGGTTGCGCAAACTTGGCACGTTGCGAAATTTTTTGGAGAACTCGTTTCACCACGTTCATTATCGACGAGACGTCCAAGACAAAAATAAACCATAATTTCTTGAGGCGGTCAAGGTAATCGATGCAGAACGAGGCATTTGGGAAAGGTTGGGAAAGGATGGGGATAGGTGGTGAGAACATGGAAAAACTCGGTTAGTTATGTGGTAACAGGAATTTTTTTAAGTATTACGATATCACTAATAGTCCAAACACGTATTTTTACATAGCGTTACTAAGAAAATTGAATCGTATCAGAAACTATCAGTTATGAGGTAGGTGAACTTCATCGTGGAAAGTAAAAAATTTCAAATCGTTCTAAAAAAATTATTTTTAGCTAGGGGGGTAAATTATAATCATTTTTGTGTATATTATAAATATATTAAAAATCGAAAACTAATTTTTAAGAAAATCGACAGGTGTATTGAAACGATCTCCCATGATTTACGAGCATCGCGCAGTGGTCAATTTCGAGTCGTGGAGGTCTATGAGCTACTTTGTCTCCCGTGGCACGTCCGCGGGGTCCCGTATGTCCAAAGAGAACGAAGTTGATCGACGATCGTGTCGCGCGAAACGCTGGAAGCTGAACGCGACGGGTCAGGAAGTTCGTCGTTGACGTCATCTTCAAGGATCGTCACTGTGTCGCATCGTTTTCTCTTGTCCAGCCTCTCGTGCCCGTTGAATTTATGCGATTGTGGCTATAAATCAGTATCAGGAGCCTCTCTGAACACAGGGAAAGAGCTTTCATAATTTGATTCACTCTGATTGTCGACTCAGACCTGCCCAAATCTCATTATTACACGAAATATTTCACTGATTCCTGACAATCGAATCGAAGTGAAATCAGTATAATGTGATTTGCAGTTAATAAATTACTCCAACCACAAATAATAATTGCACAGAAGTTCTTGATCGAGCCTCGTGCATCGTACAAATGGAAATTGCGCGACCAATTAAGCTCTTAACGAGTAGTTAAACTCTCCGCTAATATTTTCTTTCGCTTTCTATCGTGAGCCTTTTCAACTTCTATCAAAGACTGCTTACTCGTTAAAATAGAATGATCGTCGTCGATTCTCCGATTCCTTTCCTTTTGATAATCACTGGCAATGACTGGGTACGTCCTCCCTGGAGATAGTACGTCTTCAACTTTTTTTCAATTTTTACCATCGGTTTCCAGCGATGCTCTTCACCGGAACAAGGTGACACCGATACAGTAGAGTATCATTTCTTGCTAGATTATATAAGAATTTTAAAAAAATTCTGCGACCAGGGTGTCTCGTAACGCGTTTCCTCGAAAAGGAAATTTTTCTCCGATCACAATACTTTTCTTCCTTATACAGTTGCGTAGCAAAAAGTCGATTTTTCAGACTGGAATCCTGTTTCGCGCGTTGCGTGTGTCAATTAGGTCCGGCGCTAACGCCGCTACTAGTCCTCGAAGCGTCGATTAAAGCCGACTATGCTCGTGGGAGTATCAGATCTGCACGTTGGGCAATTCCGGGGAAAGATCGCGCGCCCTTTTTCCATTTCCTCGCAACCGGTGCCGCATTTCGCAAGATCGGTGTCGCAAGTGTTGCTATTTAGTTTGTAGGCGCGCGTATGAAATGTTCGATTTTGCGTTGATGCAACGTCATCGGGCAACTCGTTTGCGAGCGGACCCCCCCCCCGATTCGTTAAAAACATTGCCCCTGGTAACCTCGTCGATCCCCCTTTCCTCGCAAATTACAGCGATCAGAGATTATTACGTTCGACGGGCAAACCACAATCGCTGGAAACTGGATAACAATCTTTCTCGAGTCGATCTCTTCGCTCTGTTCCAAAAAATAAAAATTGATTGTTGTCACTCTTAATTTTGGTTTCGTTTTCCAACGTTAAGTTTCCTCTTCGAGGATTTTTCTGTGGATCTATTCGGATCTAACGACGCTTTTCCACGCTTTTCCCTCTTTTGATAGACATCGAGAGTCATCCCACGACCGGTTTACGCCTCCCTGTCGTAAAATGTTGCCACAACCGTGTCGAAGTAATACCTGACATTTAAGGTGCTAAGTAAAATACTAATTTCTAACGTGTCCAGTAATCGGATACATGCAAGTGGAACGTTTACGATGATTAACCGTCTGTTTACCCGCGCCTTGAAGCTTTCAAAGCTTCGAAGATTTACAAGACGAACACATTTGAATCGCTAAACTCGGGATACGAAGATGGAAATGAACGACACGTATTCGTGACCTAGGATATTCAAAGACCCAAGCTGGTTCTAGGTGAAGGCCAGAATTTTTAAGGACTCCAGCAACTCCCGGGGACAGGACAACGGAATTAATGGAGACGAGAACGGGAGAAAGTTTCGCAGAAAGGATACTTAGCATTTCTTTGGGTTTGAGCTTAGACTTTGAGACGTGGACCGCTATTGTATTGTATGAAAATCGGGTTTCACTTCCTGCATCGCTGAAATGTTTCCGGATGGCTCTGACCTGTATACACATACCGAGCACATAAGGATCAACGAAGAATGACTATGTTACACGTATGGTGGATGGAACGAGCAAAGCTAACTGTATATCAGCGAACGCCGTCTTTTGACTTTCGCTATCCGAGAATCGCGCGAGCCGATCGAGATAAGGCAAATATTTACGCTCGTTCTCTCTTTCCTTCGAATTTGGTCCTGGAAATTGTCGTTATTACCTCCCTCGCCTTGCAACGACAAACTTTTTTGCACAAACTTTCTCTCGTTACGAGCGAGCAGTTTAACCCGGTTCGAAATTTTTTTTGGAGTGGACAAATATTATCTGGCGTTCCACCAAAAACCCTTTTCTCTGTTAATTTTTACTCTAATCGGTGCAAATTGAATCTGTCCTTGCGTTCGACGGTCCGAAAATCGGATATCCGCGAAACAATGTATGTATCGCTCACGAAAGAGCAATCTTGAATTTCATTAGACATCGCGCGGTGGATCGTAACTAGAGTAGAACCGGCTAGAAGCGCCGCGATCGCTGAGTGTCGAATGTTCTAAGGCCAACGCGGTCTGATAGGCCATTTAGCGTAACGAAATCGCGTTTTCGAGCCGCGAAAAAACTAGAGTAACGGTCATACGCAGCTGCTTCCAGTAAGTTGCTCAATGTCGTTGCACCGTCCTTTCCCCTTTCTTGGTTTCACCGTTATCGCTTTTACAGTCGTTCTTACGTATTCGTTCGGAATACCATTCCCCTCCCCCCCCGGAGAAAAGTCTACGTCTACATTGATCGCGTGATTATTAGCGAGGGGGTGGCTCACGGGGAAGGTCGCCACCGTGGATGTGAAAATGGCTAGCGTCCTCTTCGATAAGGCTATCGTGGAATCGAGAATCATCCCCCAAAATGACGGGAACTTAGGGATCTTTAGGTCTTACATAAGTGAAATCAGATTGTGAAAACTCTTTACCCAATACTTCTGTCAAATCTATACATATATAGTGAACTGTTTCCCTTGATTTTCACAATCTGATTTCACTTGCATAAAATACGAACACGTTTGCAGGGAAGAACGGAGTCGTAAAATCGAATTGAATAATCAGTTGCCTGAACGTTATAAATGTTTTTCGATTTGTAAGTGGCTGTTAGAGTGAGTGTGAATCGGAATTCTCATACTGTTTTACGGTTTTATCCAAACTTGTGTTGTAAAAGTACCCGGAAAATGCCACCGACGATAAAATTGGAAAACGCAAGTGTTCGAACTTTCGCTATTCTGTAATATTCGTTTTTCCAGATGCCACGCTTTCGGAAAAATATATTTAGATTTCTCTAAAGTCTTCATCTAAACTATTCTATATTGTATTAAATACAATTGTAATTTCATACGAATTTTTAGACGCCTCCAGACGCTATATTTTTACGTTACAGTTTAAAGAAAGTCCAGATTATTAGAGCTTTCGATACACCGAGGAATTCAGACGAAGAAACGCCTGAATTTTTCATTCCCCGCATTTAGAAAGTGCTTTGCGTTACATATTTATATTAAATGTCCGTATCTCGATGCTGTATCACTGAAATTTCTAAACCCTGGAGTGATCGATTTGGCGCGAAACGATTAACCGTGTTCACACGTGTCATTGTCTTCGATAGTAAATTTAATTATCTTATCGCGGAACGTACCCCGTGTGGAATCGTTGATTTATCGAGGCGACTAGCCCGTGGTGGTTGAACGGTACTCGTTGCAGAGAAAGTTTCAGATAACCGAGCGAGGCCGATGGATCGGAGGATGGAAGCTCCGGAGGCGCCGCGACTCACACTGTTCGAAAAAATTACATTTCACCTTGAAAGTGCATAGATCCTCGAGAGCAAGTTTACGGACGATCATTAAAACTGCAAACATTAATTTTGCTTAATAATTTTTATATTATTTTACGTGGAATGAAAATTCAATAATTTAATTAAATAAAAAGGAAGAAATGAATTCACTGTAAAAGTTTCACTTGCTGCGTAACATTTTTAATTCTATAATGTATGTAAATAATGAAGAAAATAATAGAATAAGATTTGTCAACTTTAAAGTTATATTGTTAAGATAACAGTTGGTATTGAAATGGGACTTTTTCGTTTGAATGGCCGTTTTCGAGCACTGTGCGACGTCGCGAAAAGAGAGACCTAGGGAAAACAGAGAAAGGTAAATCGTCGGCGTCGAAGCGCGGGCTACTTCAATGGGAGAGAATTCGAACGCGATAATGACACCGACGTCACGATGATTCCCCGTTGACGAGGATGATGCTTGCACGAGCGGCAACGTCTACGACACGCTTGCTAGGAGTTTAGTGGGTAAGTGGGTCGACGTTTAAATGCCGATCATGCTATAACGTGTTTCCTCCGCCTTGTCACGCTCTCGTCTGCGGTGTAGCTCGCACGTTTTCTTCCACGGTCCATATTTACCCGGTGTCTTTCTTTTTATATTTTACTTTCCGATCGCTGGTACTATTCGCCGATAATCGTAAGCCACGGACAAGAGCGCATTTAGAGAATCCTTTCGACGATTTATCGTGACGTTTCTCTTTAACGAGGGACCGCCACGAGGCAGGACTAGGACACGTTGCCCTAATTCCTGCGACTTCCTCCCATAAAACTGTCACGCTCAGGGTCGTCAGGGAGTTAATAACGCGTGTCTTACGTTGCTGGCCATTCCAGTGGTAAATCGACCACTTTGTGCCATCTACGTCGGGGATTTCGTTTGGACCAAATCACGAGTTTACGACTGTTCCGCCATAGATCATTCCTAGGCGGGCTGTATCGATCTAATTCCTGTGGCTTCCCGCGAAACCGTTGCCAAGTAGTTGATAAATCGAGTTTGAGTTAAGCAGCTTTGAGGTCGTTCCACTTCAAATTGATCGCTTCTTGTGTTCGATGGTAGCGATATTGTTGCAGTTGAATTATGATCCACGTAAAACTCACGATTTTATTTATCAGTCAGACTTTCCAAATTCGCTCGTATTCCTCGATTTTTGCAGCCTCTTCTCAGAGACAAGATGACGATATAATCGTCGTTACTACACTGATGCCACAACTTCTTTGCCGTGTAATAAGTGCACATTCCATCTTTCATTTTTCCATCGATACAAATGAAAGCAAAATACCAGAAACTGGCAGACAATGTAACAGGAATATCACACTGTTAACACCGTTTTCCGCATCATCGATCAAACGCCAATGGGTCTTATTGATTAATTTGTTACGTGTCCGTTCTTTGATGTCGACATCGTCTTTCGACACCGACTACGTTTTGTACAATGCCATTAACACGTACGAGTTTCTCGTTATTTGCTCTCGTTTATCGGCCACTCAGGAGCTGTTGGATTTTCCTCCTTTCGCCGAGAAAAACGCCAGCCAGTGGAATTCATTAAAATACAAATTATCGTGACCGAGCAAATGCAAAATGCCGCTTTCTACGCACAGACGTTAGACAGATTGTTGCTAATAATTATCGACGTCTGTATTACGCCCGGTTTCTTGCATCTGCCGCGTTCCGGTTCCATTGAATTTCTCTTTCGTTTTTTGTCAACCTTAACCTCGTGCTCTCGCCGCGCGACGACTGTCCGTGAAATTCGCTGCATATTTATTAACGCGTAAAACAGTTTTTCGTTAAATTTCTACGACGTTCGGCTCGTGAGTTATGGCCGCCATGGGTTCCTAAAAAAGGCACGAGACTTCGAGCCTCCACCTACTTCCTCGCTTGCTCGCTTTCAGATATTATGAACACCCAGTTTCTAATAGTTTGGAACAAAATGGAAATTGCCTTCCTTCTCTTTCTTCGACGGGTGATTCAAAATAGGGAAATAAAGCTCAAATATTCGATACAGTGTTCCATTCGCGTGTGCTCGGGCAATTCTCGCAAATTGAATTAGCGAAACTAATTCTACTGAACTGTTTACACGCAATGTTCGATAACCCCTTGGTACTATCGGTGAGAAATTAGCAGGTCAATTGCGTGTCAATTTCTTGGATAATCGAATAAATTATTGGTAGAAGTCCCATTACAGGTTTCGCGTTGCCTGTGATTTATGTTCGCAAGTGCACCGTCCTATTTCTATTCAGCAGCCAGACAAGTCTCGAACGAATGACTTTCTAAAGGATGCATAGGTACTGTTGGACCCATTTTCAGTGGAAATATTTGAGGAACACGTATGAGAAGTTTGCCAACACTCGAAAGATCGGGGGCTCGTATTTGGGCCGAATTGGTCGTTTCAGGTATCGCCTGTGAAAGTAACCAACTGCACATTGCTGTACCAAAAAGGGTAAAACTGGGGAACACGATCAAATGGAACGTGTGCTCACACGGACCATTTTTTTAATGACTTCGTGTTCCCCTCGAATTCCTTCTGGTTCGATAAACGTAATGAAATTTAATAGCTACGATGCTCGATGGACAGTTTTCGAACGTTTGTCACTTGTGTTTTCAAGCTTCATGCTGGTCCCCTGTTATCTGTAATTGAGTCGAGTCCTCTCCGTTTCACGTATCCGGGGATGGTAACGTTTCTTTTTATTTCGAATCGAAGCTGAGTCCCACGCATGTCGTTCGACGAGAAAAGTGAGTGGGATCCACCAAGATCGAGCGAGATCGAGCAACAACAAGCGAGTGTCGGATTGCCGATGTCTGGCGACACGCGATCGAACGATATAGCACTCGTGTGGGATGAGTCATCCGACATTGAAAATGAAAATTGGGATATTTTGGAGAACATACGCTTCCGTAAAAAATAGACCAACCCTTTATGGGATCACTTTTATATGATCGTTTCACAATTTCAATGATTTGAAGGGTCCTAAGGAGCACGTGATTAAAAATTCGTGTCTCAACGACACCGGCTCTCTTCTTCTCACTTTCATCTCACGATTTCCGGTTAGGGGGAACGGTATTAGTTTTACAGTGTCCTCGATTACCGTGGCAGGTCTGGGTGAGCAGTAACACGTTTTCTAGGTCCCGTCATATAAAACACATTCTTCTACAAATACCATCTAAGAAAGCATACCGCACAGCCTGAAGAAAGTCGATAATCTACCTCTCTCTCAAATCGTTTCAGTCAATTCACGTCAAATCGATCACTTTTTACGGCTTTTACGAAATTAAAGTATGACGTGGTCCTAACAATAATAAAAAGATCATAGGAGTCGTCATATTGTTCCTTTCGAATTTTTTAAGACGCCAAACGGTACGTCACTTAAAGTTTCTTCGAGAATAAATATATTCGAGTCCTCTTTGAACCTGCACCGATCCTTTCTCCATCGAAGTTTGTCAAGGTGCGCCAAGTGCTCGTAGTTCGAACAATATCTCTTGCATCACGTTTAAACATCTGCTGGCTCCTCTTTTCAACGACGTCTTTCCAAATGTTCTGCCCCCTCCATATTACGATAATCGTTTACTCGTGTTTGGTAGTATTCTGGACGAAGATTATTCGCGTCTGTTTGCGCAATTGTCTGGATTTTTCGTAGCCTCGGTTGCGGAACGTCGGTAAATGCATTGTGTAATTTATGCTCAATTTTGTATCGTGTGTTTACCGTGTCCGACATTCCACGTTTGCTCGACACCATTCCTTCCCTTTTGTTGATATTGAATATTTTTTATCGACGCAATTTGCGTTTTCAAAACGTCCGCGCGCGTTTTCTATCGTTTCGACGAGGCTGCGTTCGGTTCTCGCGAAGAAAGCGAGCAAAGAAGCCTTTTTGCACACATTCCCTTCACACGTTCTCTCTCGTCTTCGATTTTATCGTCCGGCCAATAATGGGAACTAACCGTCGACATTGTCGTAAAGATGTTTTCCGCCATTCGGCGTTCTTGTCAGCGCATTTAATTACACAAGAGGCAGGAAATTTTCAACCCGGTTCCCCCAATATCTGGTCGTTGATCGTGAATACGCGATAGCGTGCCGGTTTTCGCTAAAAGTTCGTCGCGATCGTTTTTCCCCATCGCGTGAAAGCAAGTTTCTTGGCTAAGGTCGGTTCTAACGTTCGCTGAGGCGTTTCTAATATATCACCGCGTAACAATCGATAAACGTTTAGGCCATTTGTCCGAGCTGCAGTTCGCTGAGAGCGATAAAACTCTCTATTTAACGCAACGGTCGATTTAGGGTGTTACGAAATCTTAAAATATTCTGTAAATACTCTCGAGCATATTTGAAAATTAATTGCATGTTCTTAAACTATATACTTGAAAGTGTTTCACTGAATTTTCACAGAATTTTTTTAGATAGTTCGAAGAAACTATCGTCGTTCCACGTTCAAATTAACTTCGTGGCAAATTGGTCTAATTCTCGACTGATTGGACGTGGCAATTATGTATCAAAGAACAGGCTACATTTTCTAGGAAGTTTGGGAAGTTTGTTACGTTTGCAAGCAACCTTGATCTTGTCCCACAATCTAGCAATAAGGTTTTTGTTCGCTTCTGGAACGCCTGGAATTCGTTAACATTTTATATCGAGTTACAGTTTCCGAGACGGTGAAATAGTTACGTGCTTTGCGATAATAGCTAGTTAGATCATAATGACAACGCTGTAAACAACTTTCGCTGGTTTCTGTCAAGTAGCGCGAATAGATAGTTCCAGTTGTATCGCGATGCGCGGAAAAAAGAAAATCACACCACGACGGGTGGTGATACTTCGATAGGAAGAATAACGTTCATTTTCACTGTTATTCTTTCATATTTATAAATTTTTATCGTCCTCTGATGAATAAAAACCCGATTACAAATTTCTAAAACGAAGCCTGAAATTCTCTGACGATATAGTTTCTGTAAAATATTTTTTTCTGGTTGGAACCACGAAATTAACAACTATTGTCCATCGTTTCGAAGGAGAGAACTCTAAACTGTTGTCATTTTTTAAATAGATCCAGCGATTTGCTGCGAAAAAATTCAATTCAGCGAATTTCAGTAGTAGAAGTAAACGTGTTGGCGGACGTCTCGCGAAGTATTCGCTTCTTCGCGATCTAAGATCTATCGATGATCAATACATAGATACACTAGAACGATATCTAGACTTTCGAGTCAAAAATCTACAATTATTGTACATAGAATTATAAGAATTCATAGGATATTTCTTTCAATGAAATTTCATTATTTTCCACCAAGAAACACACGATGAACGCTTTGAGAATCTTGTGCAATCTCGTTGATGATTCTTAAACCCGTTTAACAATGTGGCGCGTCAACAAGTACGACAAGTATTATAAACGCAATTTCATAATCGATGGATTGAACATGGGGGGGCATGTTTCGTGGTCACCTCGTTTGGGGACGCCCAAAAAAGGAGGTTTATTCTCGTGAGACATTCTCGTTGCACTTATGAGTGATTCATGATAATTTAGGTGACTCAATCCGTGTAATTAACTCGTGGTAGAGATCTTTTCGATCGATCGTGTGATGTTGTTACAAAAAATTTGCAAACGTACCCCGTTTTGTCGTCGCGAAGGTGGCGTAACCCTTTAAAATGGTCCAGCGACCTTGTACCAAATATTAACGTCGCGTTTCGTTCGAAGGCGGGTTGCGTAACGCGACAGGTTCCACGTGCTCCGACATTCTCCCGAGGGTTACGGAACCAGGTAGTTGACCGTGCAGGGCAAAGGCAAACGATTTCTCGGTCGCGTGACTCCGCGTGAAACTTTTCAATGAAACGCGGCGCAGAATCGTTTCGAAGATGGTCCACGGGGTCCAATCTGGGTCAACGAAGTCATTATCATGAATTATTATCGTCAAACTTTGGAGATAAATAATTCCTTTATCTTTGGTCCACGGCGTATTATCGATTAAAAATGTAAAAATAATCATTTTTTGACGCCATACCTAATCTTGTTTATTTTTATCTCAAAGGAAAGGATACGGAAAGTATCTCTTGGAAGTTTCGATTTCTACAATGTAGCACTGTCCGCTGTTTTCCCTATTTAAGAATGTTGTTTTTTAATATGCGTAGCACGCGATAGCGATGTTCACGCAACAAAGTTGTAGCATCGCGTTTCCTTTTTACGTATCAACTCCGTGAACCAGTTTCTCGTTGACAAACTCCATTACCTTTTCCATTTTCCTTTTCCGTTAATCTTGTAATTTGTTTTTTTAAATATTCTTGCAAGGTTCCGTGATGCATTCAGTAGTATTTTTGAAATATTAAACGAAGAGTTTTCATTTTTTAACGGAATTAAACGACACCAGTCGTCTTCGTCTTTGGAAATTAAACAGTTGTGCAACGTTGGGAGTTCGCTGCGTTTTCACGGCTCGTAGCTTCAACTTTTATCGAAATTGAATTAGCGGAGCAACTTTCGACAGAAGTGAATCAGGTTCTTCCGCAATAACGACAGAAAATGACGAAAAATTTACTCGAGAACATGGAATTCAAACGTAAGGTTTAAACACACTTAATCGGGAGACCTTAAAACGTATTTTTCAATTAAAAAAAAATTTCTTTCTATCACAGTATCCTCGTAGCTTAAAAAGTAAAAATTATATCATCGTGAAACACTTTGTTGATATTTAAACGTCTTCCATAACAACTTTCTTCCACGCTCTGAGATTAGCTGTATTTTTCCGGTTGTTGGAATCGCCTCGGGTGTTTTTATTTGCATAACAAAGATGCTACAAACTACATACACGGAGCACATGTTGAGTTTGAGAGTAATTACGCTCGTTACAAACTAATAACATCTCAATTATGCGCAACAGGTAGAGCAGAAATTTCACATTGAAGCGTAAAATTATCAACTTTTTTTCCGTTAATCGGCTGATACGGCGTTAGCGCCATATTAATTGTGCTCCAGTTTGCTGGCTCGTTTTTATTTATTTATTCGCCTCGATTTTTAGATGAACGTACATAATTTGAACAATAAATTGCAATTTCCCTCGTCGTAATTTTGAAGAATACTTCTTTTATCTGGTCTCATCGGGCAGGGAAAGGCTTGTTCGTAAACTATGTTGAAAATCCCGGTTACTCGTTTGCAAGCAAATTTCTCTTTAATAGAGGATACGAAAAAGATTCACGGCGGGTCGCGATATCACCAGCGGCGGTGATAAGTCGCGGTGTATAAGATAAGAGTCAACTTGTTTCCGTAAGTTCCTCGATGGTGAAATGGGTCACGCGTTCTTTCTTACAGCATTCTCTTTCGAGAAGCCCAACCGTCAGGATGCACCGTGACACACATTTCCGATCGGACGTTTATCGATCTGGAATTCGCCGAGGCAGCTTATTACGAAAACCGTATGATCGACCGCAGTTGACTGCTAGGTCCGTGGTCATGACATTCTTTAAATTTTTATCTTTTATTCCGCTCGATCGATGGAACTTTCTCCGATCAAACTGCAAGGACACGTAACTTGCTTGAACCTTTGCTCCAAATAATAAGTAGTTCGAACAATCTGAATATCTCTCGCCTGAAATGCAATTTTTTTTGCGTGATTATGTAGCAATAACAATGGAGTGCAAGTCTGTTGGAACGAGCACTGGATGATCAACAGAAATAAAGAGTAATTTATGGATAAAAAATGATATACAACAGTGTCGATCGTTATCAGTAATTAGAAACTAAACAAGAACTACACGTCAATCGTCACGTTATAAAAGGAAAAGATTTTGCAGAAACACGCAAAAATTAGTATAACTACCGCTTTCTCCATTTGCTTGTCTACTACTTTGTTAGTTCAGGCTGCTTTACGTTCTGTGTACACGATTCCAACAAATGTTTAATTCACGATCTATTTGTTTTATCTGGTGTTTCAAAAACAGACTTTGCTTTTCGCCTGTATTTCAATCTCAATATAATTTTTTATATTCACGAGCCTAATGCAGACTGGACAAGCCTATTTAAATTCTTCCATTCCTTTAACGCAACATTACAGCGAACGTTGGACAGATCCTTTTACTCTCTGCTTATGCATGGCATTTTCGTCGCACAAATGTTGCCAGAAGTTGCAATTGTAACGTAATTTATAGTCTTGTTTGCGTCGTTACAACTGCGTAACGCGCGTATTCCATGGTCTCGTTCATCGTCTGGAATGCGAGCCTCTCTCGCGAAGAGAGAAATAAATCTCCAAACATACGGTCACCGAAACTATGCTTCTTCAGAAATAAGATTCTTACATTCGACAGTCCACGAAGCATTTCTTAATCGAATACAAAACACTACCCTTGCAAGTTTTCTCTTCGAATGATCTAGTTTCAAGAAACAATCGAGGTTTCTTTTTTGGGCAATGGAAAACGCACGCTTTCGTACGACCAACGAAAAAGTATTTCTCTTGCGTGCAGGATTAGCACAGCGTTTCCGTCGCTTGAAGGTCAGCGGATTTATAACCGCGAGTAAAAGTGAAACTCTAACCAAAATCTGACTTTTTTGCACGCTTCGATACGGAAAAAAATAATAATTAGACGTTGGGTAAACGATGGGACGATGTCTGATCGGTTAGGGGTGCGTTCTACTTGCTGGCGTGGAAACGCTGCGCCAAGTAGAATACTTCCCTCAGCGATCAGACGACGAGCAGACAACGTTAGGATCGCTTTTGATGAGAAAATTTGTCTGCTCGATTTTGGTAACGATATCTGGGTCAATATTCTTTCACAAACTTCGCTAATTATACCAGAAAAAAATTTGTTCCGATTTTCTACTCTTCGCTAATTTGTTACGCGTTCTTGCTTTATATCATATTTTTATTTTAAACTATTTACTACTTGATGTTGAAGTAACAGCGTCCCGTAAAATATGCAGTAAAGTAGAAAAAGTTGTTTTCCCGATGAAAAGTAGAACTTCAACATAATAATATTGAAACTAAGGTTCTCAACACGACAAATGTAACAAAGTTGAAACAGGAAGCGATACAACACGTTTTCATTCGTCTTGACGAAAATTAATAGAGAATAGGCGTAAACCGATTGCTTTTGATTCATTAACTTTCGATAAAGGCACGAGCGTTGCTCCAGTTGCGCGAGTCGCTCGCACCGATGCGCCCGCGCCTCCGCGCGTTCACTTATGGTTGTCCGTCGCGTCAGAAACCGTTTCCCGCTGTTTTCGTGATGACGCGCGCTCGGATTTCATCCGTACTTTCTCGCCCTCATTCTTCGTCGCGAGTATTTCTTCTGGAAATTATATCAAGGGCAAATAAAAAACTGCCGATAGGAGGGGGGGAACCGAAGATAAATTACCTTTCCTGCAGCCAACATCGCGACGATTCATCATCCTACTAGGCGAAACAAAACGCCTAAACATAGGCTAAAAAGATTCACCTATCCACTCGATGCAACTCAACTTCCACCATTCTGTGATCCTTAATTCATTCTACAAATTCCCTAAGTGGACAGTAAAAGATCCAAGTTTTCCGTCTCTCTTCTCACAGTCTGCCAACTTGCCTAATAGCTCGAGTTTCACAATTTTTCCTACAAATTCCCTAAGTGGAACTGTAAAAGATCCAAGCTTTCCAGAGTCTCCCCATAATCTCGCGCCCCCCAGCCTCGAAGTCAGCCCGGAAACTTACCTAATCACCGCCGGAAACCGATCTTCGAACGCAAACTCTCGCCACTTCACTTCACCCGAATCTCCACCGAATGTCGCGCGTTGCAGCAATCGTTCGATCTTCCTGGAACCTGGCCCTCGGGATCGAAGGTCTAGATCTGCCCCAGCTCGGAGCAATCGACTACCTTGGACGTTTGAAATCCCTTGTGCTCGTTCACTAGCACCCTGTTCCTTGGAATCGGTTTGGTCACAGTGTTCCTACCCTTGGAACGACACACCTCGATCACACGCGCCAGGGGTCACTGTCACAACTGATCGCGGCGCGTCTGGGGGGTCACGCGTTCCCGGTGGCACGCGTGTGCTGTGTCAGTGGCGAAGACACATTCACGGAATGTGGGTCCAACGGTCGATGCTGCGTGAATAGTCAGCGGCGCAGCGAAACCGCGGTTTAAGTATTGGTTATGCTAGTGGGGTTCGGTCGAGAGGCGACGGAGGTGGGGACTTGTGGGCCTTAGGTGATCGTCTGAAAATCCAGTGGCACGGGGAGTCAAGGTCTCCCTTCCCCGTCGGTTGGGAGTGGAACACCACGTCCTCTTCGTGTTCCACCCTCCGGCCAAGGTCGTGCGCACTCAGGGTGCTTGTTTACGTCCGGGGAACACCGATTTCCGCCCCCATACTCGGATTCTTGCACTCAACATCGAGAACACTCGCGACGACGAGTTAAATCATAGACTTCTGTGTGCAATTAGAATTTAATTGCATCTCTGGCTTGTTTGTCCAATCCTCAACTGGTCTAGAAATAGTTATGGGTTTAATAACAGTCTTTCATTGAATCGTCTTTGTAACGGGGTTACATTATCTACATTATTATTTTCTTGTAAACTTCTTTTTTATGGGGTTTTTAATTACCACTACTATAAAACATTTTCTGACTCGTCAATGTTTTCCGTGGCATTGTCCTCGTGCTCATTTCCCAATCCAAATAACTTCGAGCTCATTAGGAAAGGCCAGATTTGCTGATCACATGCAAATTTTTCATTCGAAATACTTGCACCGTCGTATTAATTTATTCCCCATCCTTGACTCCGTTTACCTTTTCCCCATTTCGCAGCTTTCGACCTTTCGATTCGGGTTTTCCAAGTTTTTGTGTGTCGAACGTAATGTTTACGAAACGATTTCCGTTTAACATTTCCCTTTCTGGAGCGCAAGAAGTGCATTTCTGCAAAGTTCGATCGTTTATAGAAATATCATCGTTGGCTGGTTGTTTGTTTTCCCGGTTGGGAATAATCGTCGTTGCCATGAACTTCAATTGCCAGTGAAATTAAGTAATTATATTACTACATTTACGCAACTTGCGTCAACTATTACATTTAGTTGCTCGCAAAACAGATCCTTCTGACGTTTTCTGTTCCTACTGAATGTCAAGAGCGTATCATTGTTTGCGTAGTTAAATAATTACGTAAATATTAGGTGTGGTTAATTGGTCGTAGCTCGTATATGAACAGTGTCCAATTATTATAATGTATGAACTTTCAATTAAGCAATCTTTCGATTGTAAAATCAAATATAAGCCTCAAGATTTTTGTAATAATTTAATTCATTGATTTAAAATTCAAGTTCATTTTCTGTCAGGAATTCTCGCGAATGATTCTTTAGTAATGAATGAGCCAGATTGGAAAGAACGCAAGTAGAATGAGCCAAACTACGCGTCTCCCTGCTCTATCGCGCATTGAAATCACCACTCCATCGCGCATTGAAATCACCACTCCATCGCGCATTGAAATCACCGCGTCCGATAGCGAATTCGTTGTAGATTCCAGGCACTTCGTCTCTCGTTCCGGATTGATTAATTGGCCAATCAATTGAAAAGATATACGATCATAACGTGTTACGCGTTACAAATCTCCATCTTCGTTCCGTTGCAATTCGTATTTGAACAATATTTCCGCCAAAAATAACAAAATCCATTGAATTTTCCACTAGTTCGAAGTTTCCTGTATATTAATTCGCATCTAATTATATCACGATCGATTTGTATCTGTCTCACTCAATGATCGTTCTGCATTTTAAAAATTCGATACCGGTCGAAACGAGTTCTAAAGTGGTACAATGTTCGGTAGAAGATTACCGTTAATTAAGATATCGATCATTTCGCTAAGATCTGCATTGCTATTGAAAATCGTAGCAATTTTATTTGATTAAAATCGAACGTATTCGTCTGAAAATTAGCTAATTTTGATATTATATTCCTGGAAAACTGCATCTGTTCGATGAAGATTACTTTCACAATGTTAGGGGGCTACTGCGGAGATATTTGAGCGTGCGAGAACGAAGGTGGCGGCGTCGAAATCGTGTCAAGGTCACTCGCATTTCTCTTAATGGCACACAGCATAATTTTTTTTCCACGGATCGACGGTGGGGGGCGAGACGAATTCAATTATACCAATTTTTGTTTGTAAATTGAAAAACGAGAAAGAGAATCGTTCCCCAAATACATTAGAGGAGATATTTTGATAACTTTTTCTGTTTTATAGTAATTTGTATGCAAATCATATTGGAAATTGTAGCGTGATCTTTGAAACGCCTATCATCGGATGTTTAACCTTTTACCAAGAACAAATTAATTCGTTGTGTGCCTTTTTATAGCGTTCTGAGGTAGTATTTGAACAACCGGTTTCATAAATCATGCTCGTCGGTTATTAATCGAAAGTGGCAAAGTTAGAAAATATTAAGAACCATGAATTATTTTACTAATACCTGTTTCATCGAAATAAAAACTATTTAATAACAATTTTAAATAACTGCTCCGTTGAAGAAGTCAAACCTGTCTTCCTCGTTCACAGAAACGTACAAAACGTTTTCCATTCAATTTTTCACACGCTATCTGATATAAAATCAAGTCTAATAATTTACATAAAATGACATAAAGTGTCAAAACATCGATGTCACGCACCAGCGAAGATTCAAATGAGAAATATCGCGTTACCCAGCTCTCTGGACAAACCAAACACGATGTTAAGGTCAACAAACGCACGATTAGATCTATTACAAAACGTAAACGAGTCCAGTGATGTACACGATTGTCGAGAGTCGTTCGTCATAGGGTTAGAAATTTCGTGACTAGGCTAAAACGTTCGAGGCCGAAGACCGAAAACTGACCTTCGCCCATCGTTCAGGTTTTGCTCCATTCGGTATCACTGTTCGGACGCTGTGTTTCGTAATTCGTAATGTTCATCAGAAAGTGGCCTCAGGAGTTTTCGAGGAATTTAAACGGATTCATCGTACAAGGCGAAGAAACTACGCCTTCCGCCATGCAGGATCGATGTTTCGGCCATGTTTACGAGACCTCGAGCACCTTGGACGTTGCGCCGTTCCTTGAAATGAATTCGGTAATGGGATCAACGGACGTTCACTTCTCCATGGCCACATATTTCGGACGAAACGATCGAGAAACGGTCCATTGGACAGTTGCTCGAGTTCACGTCGCCCGATCGATCGAAATAAACGCTTCCACTGGGAAAAAAATCTCGAACAGCAGTTTCTTTAACTTCTAACCACGTTGTCGCGTAGAAATTAGGTGAAAAGTCGCGTTGTCCTGAATTCCCTGGTCTTATTACTGCCAGACACATCGTTCAAACGAGACTTCTTCCGTGGTCGCGTTTGTCATTTGGTCAGCGGACGTCGGAATCTTTTCTTTTCGTTTAATTGTGCCGCTCCTTTTCTCCCAAAGGCGAAATGGACGAGACAGTGCGCCCGTGGGTGTCAAACAACGCTAGAAGTAAGTAACTTTTACCGAATTAACGGTACAAGCAGATTTGAATGCGTCGACGAAGTGGGTCGACGAAATTAAGCACACCAATCTCGATAATTTTGAATCTGCGCTGAGAGGCGTACTAATTGGTACGAAAGATCGTTAGATTCACTGCTCTATTTACGCGTTCTTGCTACAGATTTCATTCTCGGACTGTTTTCTATCGGATCTGTGGCAATTAACGTTAATCGATTTCAACGAGCATCGGAGTAATTCCGTTCTTGGTAGCGGCTGTTCGGTGGAAGCGGTCAGCTTGCTATCCGGAAACTTGCCGCTGCAACCACAACGTTAGAATTCTTTTTATTTACAGTTCGATATCAAGCTTTCTCGCTACTTCTCAAACAAAATATTTCTAATAATCTGATTAAAATCCTGACGATTTAAGATCCATCTAGTTTTAGAGAAGTCCACTTCATCGATCGAACTAATCACTGTTTATCGTTTTCAAGTCTAAAAACAGGTATTTTATCGCGATAAGTACCCGGCGACACGTTAGGGGAAGAGACCGAGACCATAATTATACGATCGCGTAAAACACTCATTGTTTGCTGTCATAGAAAGATGTACGAACGGTGGAAACAGTCTAGTAAGTGAGGGTCTCGTTACACTCGATGATTGAAAACAGCACGGAATTAATTGATCGGGTCAAGTCGAGCGACCATTTCTCGATATAAATTTTCGCTCTGACATTTTGCAATCGTGCTTGTCAATCTTCGACGCTTTTTAGGAGTTTTCAGAATGAGTTTTATCGACACAGTTCGGAGTACGCGATCGAAAGTTGACGATATATCGACGGAGCTTGATGGATACCGTGTCGCTGAAACAGGTCGTCGAAGAAAAGGATTCCACTTAATTGGCAGATTCTACCTAATGGGGATCACACGTATTTTTATTTATTCGCGGAATTTTATCCATCTCTTTTGTAGTTCTCGCACGAACTCTTCTGCGACGATGTGTCGACGCTGGACTGTAATCAAGATTTAGTTGTGCAAAGAACACGCAAATTCCAGCAGTTTGAAACGCATAACGCGGCTGGACACAATGGAAATCCGTCGCGGGTCTTCCGTAGGAAGGAAAAAGGACAGGGATGAGATTTACGACTCGATTCCGCCATAAAAATTTATAGATCTTGTTCGTCCTTGTTCCTGACGCTATGATTCTACGTCTATCTCGTATCGTAGGTTACAGCAACACTTCTAATGTATTCTACGATGGTTACGTATGTCAAAGTTCGAGTATAATGTTTGCAAAGTCCGTTGATCTGAGAGAATGAGATATTAGATTTCTGTTATTCGTTAAATATTTAGAGACAATATTTGTTTGATATAAATTATTTAGAACTCTTTTCTATGGTATTTGTCGAATTTTAAAAAAGAGAGTCCAGTTTTTCTGTAGAATATTTTCTGAAGAAGTTTGTTTTGTATCCTACCACTAGAAGCGCTACACTCTTGTTGCAGAATCGATAACGTTGGCCGTGACAGGAAAATGGTAAGGAGTCTTTGAAAGCCCCACTAGTCGTAAAACAGAAAGTTCTGTTGAATGTCCGGTCTATTCTACGACGCTAAAGCGCCTGTCGAACTGCAACCATCTCGCCTTCGCTGCCTGCAGTGAGCTACTACCTCATAATTCAGTTCTCTGCACCGGAGGGAATCTTATCATTCCTTATTAACACTTGAGAGACAGAGACTTGCAAGAAATAATTTATTTCAACTATCAAAGCTAGCAGAAAATTTCAATTTCATTTAAAATATTTCGATAAACCCCATTGTAAGAGTCTCGTAAACTTAAATTTGAAACTTTTTTAGTCCTTAGAAAAGTATCGAGTATAATTGTCGCCGTGAACAGTGCATGAAAACAAAGTTACGACGAGACGTTGAACATTTACATTTTCGCCGAGCGACGCGTCTTCTTTTTATTTCATAAATTTGTTGCTCGGTCATTTTACAGAATTAATCGTTGTTTATTGTACCCGCGTGGCTTTTTTATCCACTCTCGGAAGAACGCGTAGGAAACGGCAAAAAACCAGTTAGTAATTTCGCGTTAACCAGTTCCTCGTAAACAAATTACTCAATGTCGCGTGACAAACCGACTCGTCAATTCGCCCCACTATTATCCATTCACGTCGCATGGATTTCCAGAGGAGCGTGGACTTAATCGTCCGTCTAATTGGATCCTTCCTCCCTTTTTAATTTCTAATTCAATTTTTACACGGATCGTTTAGAACGACGTTACGTTAGCGTTTGAGCTAAAAATTAACGTTAACAGTGTACACATCGTCGTTTGGAAATCTTCTATCGACGCCATTAACGATTTTCTGTTACTGTTCTGTAATAATTCGAAAAGGAGGCGTTCGTCGATCGCTCGGAGGGTACTAGAACTCTGTTGACAGTATAAACACGCGTTATGTCATCGGGTCGAAAAATTATCGTGCACGCGTCAATGTTTTCGACGTCCTTCGGATTTATCTTTGCACTTCGTTTGGCGTGTTTAGAGATTCCACGCGTTTGCAAGTTTATATCGCGGGTCCACGGGTCTAGGCTACGGGTTGCTTCGCGAATGCCAGAGCGACATATCGCCGGCTCTGTCGCGATATGTCGTGAGCCTCGTAAATCCTATCGCGGGGACGCAACGGACTACGCAAACGTTGACTTTTTGACATTTCCAGCCGCTGCACACCTGCAGCGAATACCTTTCGAGAATTTCTAATACCACGATCTGGGCACGGTCGTCGGAAAATGGAAAATTTCGATCGATATTCCCAATTTCCGAGAACCCCCATTGTAACCGTAGACTCGTGGTCCTGGTCGCGATCCAATCCAGTGCAATGTTTATGCTGATATGCAGATCGAGAGATCTATTCCCAAGATATGCTAATGCAAACGAGAAACGAGACACTTTTGAGGCGTTGGAGGTCTCGAAGCCAGTCGACCATATCCGTTCAAGTAAATTACAATACTCAGCACTCTACTAAATCATTAACTCATTATCGAGTTATAGAATTTAAATTTTACGCTTCGATCCACATAAATGAAACGAAATCCAAATTCCTATTTTTTCCAAAATGATACTATATGCATTCCATTGCATCTCGGCACGTTGTAAATAAAATGGAGCAAGAAATTGCGCGTCCTCGCGTCTTTCGTCAGTCGCGACTCCTTTCTACGCGATTACTAATATTAATTGGAGTTACGGCGCAGGCGCGAGCGCGTATTTGCAATAGCCGTTGGGTTGTCAGCGGATTGCAAAATCGAGAGCCGATCGTCGGAGGCAGCTGGAAGCCTCTTGCTAAACGCGATTCTCCGCGGCGAGACGAAAAGTCGACGACAAAGAAATTGCAACACCCGTTCAAACAACTAAGAAAACGGTGGCTACGTACGCGCGATAGCATAACTGCGGGATCCTCCAAGTAAATGGCTATCTTGGCCAATCTCGATATCGACCAACGATCTGGTGGATTGTTTGCCTAACTAACGACTCACGAGGGCACTAAAGTTCTATGCTCGCTGGTGCTCGTGAAATTCCTTGGTGTTCGTCTAACGAGTGTAATGGCAAATATCGTAGGCAGGTTAAGTGGTCTCAGCCACCTGCAACCATAAACGCAGCAAAAGGATTAGTGGCTCGAGGTGTAAACGGATCGTACGATAAATTAAGATGGACGTTTGGAGTTTGTTCTGGGAGGAAGCTTCCTTTGGGATTTTAATTCATCGGGTGAGAGAGGAAAGTACATTTTTCTTTTGGCTCCAGAATCTGTTCCACGATTTGTTAACTCCACTTCGGGTTATTTAGATCATTCCACTTTTCCACGACGACCCGTTTTCGCTGCTCATCGGCCGTAAAAGCGCGCGAACGCTGGTAAAAGCAACCGTTGCCTCCAATCAGATAGACGACAGGCAAGAAACCCGAATACTCCCGAAAGAAAACAATTTCGTTTCGAAATCGACCGTCGGCACGTTTTGCAACGAGTTTTTTTCTTTTTCAGGTGCAATCGTGAAAAGGTAAAAGCGGAGTGCGTTTCTATGGCTCGCCATCTTGGAAAAGTTGGGAACTTTGACGTGAAAGAGAGGCAAATTGAAGTGTCGAACGAAAGGAAGAAGAAATCTTGATATTCCAGATATCGATATTAGTAGTATTCGAACGCTATTTTCAACGTTATTCGATATTCTTTAGTATCTCTTCTTTTCAATTTTATGGAAGGACAACTTCTTTCGGGAGATCCTCCAACGATAAAAAAAAAAAGTGAATAACGATCGTATAGATCTTCAAGGTCCGAGGGTGACATTTGCTAGACGTTCGACCATGGAGCAGTCTGGTTCTTCGATCAAAGATCTCCTATCTCATGATCGAACCTTATTGAATTTTTCTTCCACGTTTGTCCTCTAAAGAGCAATTTTAAAAATAATATATTCGGCCAGGAGAAGATTAGGATCGAGTTGATTTTCCAAGAAGATCACATTAAACGATTCGTTTCTTTATTTACATAGTAATATGTAATATTACATAATTACATAAATTGTAATTTATTTTTTTCGATCGATTAATTTCCTCGAAACGTGCGAGTGCATTAACTTTGAGGACTGTTTACACGAGGTATGGAAAGAGAGGGAAAGTCGAAATGATGCAGGTTCATTATACAACTTTCTCAAGTGTATGTGACGTAATCTTGGCAGATAACGTTACCGTAAATCAATGGTAGCTACATAGTAAATGGTGATGCTGGATGGATTGCTTCAGGATTTAATAGACGGACACTTCCCGTATCGTACTTTCGCCGTTGCTGTCATTGCATCAGAGATTCTTCACACTCATTATTTCAGGTTCGTTTTCCTCAAGTTCGATCCACTCTAACGGCTTCCTATCGCTGGCCACTCGATCCATTTCGTTTTATAACGGACGTCTCAAAAAAATGCAAACCTTAATCGCCCGCCATGGTTCCCGAGGAGGAAAATACTGGTATTTAATAACAGCCGGGAAAGTAATACATTCCTGGCAGAAATTGCCATCGGATAGACCAATCTCGATCAGGTTTGCGTCCAAGGAAGTACGATATTCGCTGGTGGATACTTCGATACAATGTCTTCCAAAGTATTCATTCGCGATAAACGCAAGCTTAAACTTCTTCGTAACTATTCGCTGGTTTCCACTCAGTTGCCGCTTTAGATTACTATAAATTACCCGTGGCGTAATATTACAACGTTACCGCGCGTCTTCGTTTGCAGAATCGTCGAGGCGAAGTGCCTGCAACCCGGCCAGAAACGTCAGCTTCCGGTTATCATCGTCGATGGGCGTCCTTCGTTGTCTCCCAAACAAGTTATTTACGAAAAAAAACAGGGTGTTTCCTTCCGTTCGAACATTCAGAATTATTCAAAAAATTTCCATACAGGAAATGCCTCTGTTGCTTTGGCGAAATATGAAAGTGGAAAATTTATTTTAGAAACTGTTGTCGCTCTAATTACTGGTTCGGGAATTCTTTACATTTCTATCCGATTCCCTAGATATTCGAGCAGGAAAAATAATCAATTATTATGTCAGACGGGGACAAATATTTAGCTAAGTTTTTGTCAAGTTGTTATTTGTTACTGAAAACGAACCAAGTTCTCAAATACTCGTTTAACCCTCTGTTTCTAAGTTTATATCTTCTGAAATTCGTAATAATCTCAATGGACGGAAATGGTGCAAGGGGGGTTGTCCCAAATTCACCCGAAACATGCACTTGTCGCCCCACCAATTCCCGTATCGCGAGTTATCATTTGATTACCCCACTTCTTGCACCTTTTCCTACTACCTGTACGTAGAAAGTAACGGAGTTGTGGCGCGATCAGGCATCTCAGTCAGTCAGAAACGTCGGGTCGCGCGAGATCGAGGATTCGCGAGCGTGTTTCCCTAAATCCACGGAAAATAAAATCAATTTTCCACGGGAAATCGCTGATCGCGACCGGTCGCGTGACAGTGGTGTCCAGGATCGCGGAACGATTATTCGATCACCAACCACGCAGGAGTCGTAGATCCGTTTGGGAGGATCTTATTGTCGATCGGGGGTACAGGCTTGATTTGGATCGTCGTGCGATTTTCTGCGAGCTAAATACTTCTCGGTAAGATGGTAATCGCCATTCTGTATCCCTCGTGATCGCTGCTCCGTGCACTATTGCCTCGCTTCTTGCATCGATCTGCGTTACGGATACTTGCAACAGTAATTGTCTACGTTCTTTCAACTTTTCAGCCACCTGTTCTCGTTCTATCAGCCCCCAGAACAAAGTCTCTTCTCTGTTGCAAGAAGAGAGGCAGTATTGTAGTTGGTATAAAACAATGTAATTTTGTTCCCAAGAATCTCTATTAAATTTTTGGCTGTGGAGGACATTGGAGTTGTTACATAGCAACCGATTGAACTCCAATTCTCGACTCTGATCACTTAAAAGCGACGGTTCTGGGTTAGAGTGCATCTAAACTCCAATGGACACATTACACATGAGAGTAAGGGTTAGACAAGAGCTCTCAGACCCAGGTTTCCAACCTCTTCAAATCGCTCTAATTTTCTTGAATGCCTAACGCGACTGATTTAAAAGCGATGCAATGACATAATAGACGATCGTGAAATCTTGTTTTCTGGTAAGATTTAGGAGCGGGTGGTACTTCAGCCTCGATCTTATAAGGTTCAGCTTATACAATAACTTTCTACCGTCGCGATGATGAATACGTTTCCTGAAAGGATTGAAATTTCACGGAGCTTTCCGCGGAGCCGGGAAACAATTTTCCAGCGGTTGTCGTTAACCTAACCCCGATCAATCTTCTCATCTGCTGAGCGGAAGCGTCCTTGCAAGGTGTTCCATTCAGTCCCCGCGTTTCCTGCTGCACCACTGCAACCGGTCTTTCTCCCTAGCCACGGTATAGGTTGACACGGTTCCCTACGGTCCCCGCTGAGACCCTGTCAACCGGTTCTTCTGGCACATTTTATTCGCTGAGAACCAGCTAGAATCCCGTTACCACGAAATTCGTATCAGCTGGCAGAAGAACAGGCCTGTTAACCCCCGTGAACTTGCTCGGTATTGTTCCCGCTCGCGCGTCCCGATCGCGTTTCCTGTAAAATCGAATCTGTGTAGGCGAACGAACGATTACGCAACGATCGCGTCCCTGGTTACGAACGAGTTACCCAAGCAGGAAATTGAAATTTTCGTATTCTTTCTGTTTTCGTTACGAGACCGATTTAATCGGCCTGGAGACTTTCGTGCGACGAAAACGATACCAAACACCAACACGAGATCAATTAAACGAAAATAAAAAAAAAATGGGACGACGTGTTTCGCAACGGACAGACTGCATTTTCATTGGATTTAATATTCGATATTTACGAAGAAGATTCGTGATCGAGATTTTTTTGCCAGCGCTGTATTAATTCTTACAATCACGCGATTAATTCGCCTCGAAGTCTTCCGCGTTGCTTCGTGAATACTTGGATAGTTGAATTGTATAAATACGACGATTTATAGTAGAACAGATGTTCTTGTAAAGAATAAAGGGAATGATAGGAATGTGGACACGCTGTCCCATTGGGGGTTGATCTTTCTTTCTTGATGCAATACATTTGGTTTAATGTGGGGACTCCGTGGGAAAGAGAAACTATACCACTCTTAGAAATCTATAAACTACATAAATATTATTAATCATGAAAAAAATCCAAAACCAAAAATCTAAACGATCAAATTTCACCTACTCGTTTTTTAAGCCGCACCAAACTCATTTCATCCGGAGAAATTTCATCGAGACTTTCTTCTCGGAACTAGTCCGTCTAAACTCAAATGGATTATTAATTGCACAGCTGTCTCGCGCCAAAGAGACGTAACAAAACGTATGGGGATGTTTGCTTTTCGAGTATCCCTAACGTTGATTGATGCAGTGGCGTACCTCGCAGATCCAGTTGCGTACAATTCACCTACAACTTTCGCTGCCCGTACTATCAGCTGCGAATTCTGGAAAGCAACAACGTTTATATAATCAGCGAGCACGGAGTATATTTTTCCATGACATCGTTGCGTAATTCGAACTCGCGAATAAATGTTATTTTAGACATTGTATCGATCTCGAGGTGGACTGTGAGATAACGCAAGGTTGCGGAAAATTTCTTTCGCTCGGAGTGAATTTAAAACTTTCGAAAGCCGCGTAACATGGTAGCAAGTTTAGTAGGAAGTCGCTGGGATATTTCTGCTGCGAGAAGCAATCGGTTCCACGGGTGAACGACCAGCGATCGAACTAGAAATCTAATTGCGAGCCGTACTGCAATCGCAATTTCACTCTAACCTGTCCGTGGCGCGTCATTGGCGTAGCATCGCGGTCAACGATAACGAATGCACAGACCTTAACAGTAGGGATCAAGTTCAACTCGAGAATTTCCAACGTTTGCTTCTTTCCGTTCGAGCAATTTCGATTGCAAGTGCATTCGTGATCAAAAGAGGCTCTGTGCAGGAATTTCGAATTCATCGTCGTCCTTGAACCGATAAAAAATCGGGGAAAGGAGCGTCTCGGTTCAGAAATTAGGATCGAAGCTGAGTAGAACCGTTAACCGTTCTGTAACGGTAGCGTTGGTCGTCATTATATCACCGGCGCGCAGAGAAAGTAACAAAATGATAACTTAACTAACTATCCTCCCCCTCTGCTTTCACGTGGAACATGTTCGCACGAAATTCCTGGTATCGAGTAGAAAAGTGATCAGTTTGGCGCGAAATGATCCGTGGACGAGGATATGGGATACATAAACGCTTGACGAGGGATTACTTCTGAGAATTTTACTTTCTCAGTTTTATTTAAAACTTTATATAATACACTACATACGCTAATACATAATAGAGTTACCATCGTTATCTAAAACCCTTCATTATTGCTGCCTAGTTTAAAGTAAATCCAAAGAACAGCTTTGTAGCACACAGCCAGGTTTCCGGAACTAAACGCCAACCTCCACTGTGTTACATGCTCGTAATTAGAAAGAAAACAGTTTCTAGGTTATTTACGAAAGGAGGATCTTACCAGAGCGAATAACATTTATTTTAAAAAAATTCCGACTCGTTAGTGTTCCGTCATGGCATAGATCGATTTGTCAAGCGCGTAAACGCTTTCGTTTTTCCAGTCTGGCTCAGAATTTACGTTTCGATAACGCCATCCACATTACATAGTCGTTAGAGATCGGTTCCGCCAGTCTCTCGATCTCGAGCGCGATTCTCAGCGGCGCGAAACAGCGGCCCAAGAATTTCCGCGTCCCGGCCGGAAAGGCGGTTGTGCCGCTGCTACGGCGAAGGTAAGAGAGACAGTGACCCGAAGAAACCACTTTCCATCTCGTTAGGCGGCCTCGCGAATCGCCTCGTCGCGGCTTCTTCCGATCCTCGTTACCAGAATGGCGAAAAGAGCAAAGAAAATTCCACCAAGGTCGCCGTGGAACGCGCAGGAAGCTTCCCAAGTATTACGCAAGCGGGAAAGTAAAAGAGCGCCTCGTTTTGAAAGGTCAATGCCCCCTAATCGAGAGCCTCCCGTTAATTTTCTATTTTTTTTCATTCGCGCCTCGTCCAATTTCTCTACGGTGTCGAAATCTTTTTAACCGGATCGTGTGAACGTGAAGATTCATTAAATCCACATTTCCGTCAATTCGAATTAATAGCAATTTTACACAGAGATCGCGTTATTTTCGGAAGTGAGAATTTTAGTCCGATGATGTTGTTGTTCTGGACTGAACATCCGGTTTCATATTGTCACGCAATTTCTATTACAAGGGGGAAGAAACAACAGTTACGGATTGAGGGGAATGTGGTACGACGAGTGAGTAGAATGTGGACAGCTTTCAGTAATTTTTCCTTACGAAGGTTGACTACGACATCTGACCTAATACGACTCTCGCGGAAGATCTGCTTAGAGAGACAAACACCTGCAGTTTTGCGTAAAGAAGTGTACGAGTCAAAGATAATTGCGTCACAAAGTTTTTAAAAACGGTTTTCTACCTGGAAAAGAACGTTTTAGATCACGACTGTAAATAATTATGGGTTACATAGAGTTTTTATCCGATCGTGTGCAGTTAATAACGTTCCATTTCGTGAGAAATTGTTTTTTCCGTTGCAATTACTCCCGCGTGTATTGTTCGATAGTACGTGTTACATGGTATGCGGAAAAATTTGTAATGCAATCAGGAATTGATTCTTTATTCAGGAATAAAAACTGCAGAGCACTTTCTTCTTGCAGAAGGTTTTCCTTTCCGGAAAGCTTGCCGCTTGATGTTTATTTGTTTTATTTAGCTGTTTTATTACGCAATTTATGGGAGAACAAATTGCACACATACATCATATGAAATTACGAGCATACGAGTAAACACACGGCTCTGATCTCGTAATCAAACCGTAATATTGTAAACTTTCATCCAGTCATATACAACGAATAATTTGATTTTTGTTGAAATTTTGCAGACAAAATGGATAGAAAATCTTCCTTAAAAAAGAAAGGAAAAATAGTATTCCAGGCTCGAAGAATTTCGCAAATTTAAAATGAATAAACGTCCATCGACAAGGTTGCTTCGTAGTGGTTTTCCGTGTCGCCATTACCATATTTCGATAAAACACGCGCTGCATCGTGTTTATTTAAATAATTTAGGACAAGAGTCGTCACTGCATTTAGACATCGCGGCTATTCACACGAACAACTATCGAGATTTGGCCAGAAGGTCGAACGAATCCTCGAAGTCGTCTCTCCGTGGCGTGAAATTGAATTAAGAGTCACTCTTGCCTCGCGGGCCTCACGATACTACGCAGTGGGCCAGATGTGGGCCACGGGCCTTACTGACCCCTGCCCTATTGCGTAATGTGCCCAAATGGGACCACAAGAAAAGCAATAACTGTAAAATTAACCGAGAAAATTTCATACAGGGACATCTGATAGATCTACAGATTCTATCACTTATTGTTTAACTCGAACATTTTTTAATTCATTAATGTACAAGGTGGTGCAATACTTTATCTACCAAACTTTCGATCTGTGCGTTCTTTTCTAGGACTCTACGTATCAGTATTAATTATTGTATCGATTGCATTTTCCTCTTAACGAATGCTTCGCGTTCGAAACTTCT